AACGAATCCCTGCTCCATGTCAACGTAAATGACAGGAAACCCAGGTCGGGTTGGGCGCGGGGCAGACACACACACTCGCACAGAGAATATGTTAACGCACGGCCTGGCAAGGAGAGACACACAAACAACAACAGGCCAAGCAGCTGCAAGCTCCGCCAACCAGCTGCCCCCGCATGGTCGCCCACAAGGCCGCTACTTAAGCTGCTGTACGTGCACAAAGGACACACACGCAAATAACTGCGGGGTAGCTTTTAATTATCTCGTTATTTTTTAATTTCCAGCATTTCACTGATTTCATTTTGAGCACATTGAGCGCAACGGGCGGTGGCCCGTCGTGAATGTCGCCAATCCCGCAGCCATTAACCCACCACCGCCCCCTGCCCCCCTGAGCCGGAGGAGCCAGCTCGAGGCAACTTGACGCCAATTGAATGCGAAATATGCATTAAGCAGAATTGAAGCAATTTTAAGATGCAACCAATTGTCAGCTGGATATACCTTTAGTCTTACCTTCGGCTTTAACAGCTCCGCACTAATTGTTAACACTCTAATGAACGGACTTTAAAGCCCCACAAAAGCGCCGGTGTAAAGTGAGACGAAAAACAATTAACTCGTCTACCCCGAAAACCCGCACGTCAACATCAAATTAGTTTGTGGATTAACACGTTTTTTACATGTCCTCGCAGCGAGCAAGAGAAGGTCAAAGGGGTTGATGATAGTTGGAAAGGTGTGGGGAGCGGGTGGGTGTGGGCGGTGGCTTGTCCGTGCTTAATTACGCATACGATACGTTGACTGGCAGTTTTTTAGTTTATTTGTGGGAGCCCCTTGCTCAGTTGGGCATGAAATGGGTTTATAGTTACCAATTATTTTTGGTCATGCCTAAAAATGTGCCCCGACCTGTCTATTATTAACAAATGAAACTATATTAAGCAACTCATTTGAGCAGCCATGGTCCCTTTTTCTGCCCCTTCGCTGCGTGACTAGCTGCAGAGTGCGGGGATTATGTGAATTTAAATAAAGTTTTGCTCGAACTGACAAAGTTTGCAGCCAGCTCCAAATAGGCTTCATTGCGCCATTGTCATGTACCCGATGCCCGGCGCTCGGCACTCTGTCAATATATCTTTAAACTAAAATCACTGGAACAATGTGCGTATTGTCTGGCGCCAAATTTAATTCTTACGTGACTGAGTTATGGAGTCTTCGCATGGAGGCGAGAAAGAACTGTGGCAATGTATTGGACTACACAGAAACGCATCGATTGCGAGCAAAGTTCATAAATAAAGCCAGACAAACCTCGGCTTGGCTTAAAATAAAAGTTGCTGTTGCAAAACAAAATTCAAAAAAGAAAACGCAATAAAACTGCGCTCCATCGCATCGAACAAAAAATCTTGTGCTGATTTACCCGCTGCGCCTCGAGTGCAGCAAACAGCCACTAATAAAAGTTTCTGCAGTTCACAGGCGTTGATGTTTGTTGTGCGGCTATACTTTCAATGCGGTTGCACACACTCACACACACACACACACAAACACACACACACTCACAAACTCACGAATGCCGGTCAGCGGAGAAAATTTTTGGCTTTTGTGGAATTTCAACAGCAAATGGCTATCAACCGCAAGGCAACCCAGCATCCGGCATCATCCAACTTGTCGGCACACGTACGCCTGGGAAAAAGTTAATTTGGCCAACACTTTAATAATGAGGTTTGTATTGAAGCCAGCTTGATTGACTCCTAAAGTTGTCTATTCTCTCTACGGATAGCTCCTGTTTTAGGAGCTGCTGCCTAAATTACGGAAGCCGTCCATTTGTCAAATAAAATATTTAAAACAATGGAACTTTTCATCTCGTTAATGCTAAATGTTATACAAAAGCTATACATGTATATTTGTATACATAGTTTTATGTATATAAACATAAAATCGTAAAATTTTCAAAAATGTATATAGTGGCGCTAGCTAGAGGAAAATAATGGAAGCACAAGAAAATACCACAAAGAGTGCTGCCATATCGACTATAAAAAGTACTGATGCAAGCAGTGCATCATTTGGTGGCAACCGTTAGGCAAGCAGTTAAATTATTTGAATTTATGTTTAAATTTCTATTTAATGAAGCTTTCAACTGAAAAAAGCAATTCACTTGAAATTTAATTTTATTTTAGAGTAGCAGATAGTTTGACTCAGATAATATCAACAATAAAAAAACAACAATAATTAAAAACAAACACCAAAAATTTTTGTCCGTGTGTCCGACAATGATGCGTGAGACTCCTGCGCTGTGCTCTGCTCTTAAATATATCGTTTTATTAAACGTGCCTATCTAATTACGTGGAATTAGCAGAAAACTATTTGTTGGGTTTGTAAATTAATAAGAATAAAAATATACTTAACAGAATTCAATTTAAACGCATCTATGAATTAGCTCAGTGAGAACATATTCTTTGGCCATCTGTGTTTCTTATGATACCTTAAAAAAATTTTATTTTTTTTATTTTTATTAAGTGTAGAACCTGTACAATCATAATTTAGTACCTTAAGAACACATGGATGGCAAATGTAATTAAAAACCGAACCCCATACTCCTAAAAAAATACATTTTAATTTTTTTTAAATGTGTTGGCTAAGCAGTGCCTCAAAAGCAGTGCAAAAAGACAACAAAATTTCACAAAGCAGTTCACAACTAAAATTAAATTTAAGTTCGGTATTTTTTGAGATTTTTTACCGAGGTTCTGATTTAAGGCTATGAAAAGAAAAATAGATTATCACAATCTATATCTATATACAAGAGTTTGTCTTGACTGACTGAATGGCGCATTTGTACAGATGAGGGACCAAGTCCCGTCGGGAAATGCTTTTATTTAAACAAAAATAATAACAATGTTATTTATATTATTGGAATGAAATGGCATTTTGATCTATTGAGCTAGAGAGATTTATAGGCAAGGAATAAGGAAACCCTATGAGCATAACTAGTTAAACTTATATTTCCTGCTTATATATGCATATCTCACAATAGTATAATCCGTATAATCCACTTCTAGAGCTGTCACGAAAGAAACGCAATTAAACTAGCTAAGTAACATCCAGCCCGTGCTGTGAAAACCACTCAAGAAAGTGGCCGCCGCCGCCAGCGGAAGTAAGTTTTTGCGTACTGGCAAGCATAAATTCAATTAGGTGTTTGTTGCTGAGACAAATTGATTAATTTGCCAGCCGAAACCCAACGGTCCCCTGGCAACCGTCGAGTAATATAAATACAATAAGAACTCTGCACTTCGGCAACAGTCGGTGTAGAACCAGTTTTCAGCAAACAAACCCGCCGCCAACACCGAAGCCTCGTTTTTGGCCACAAACCCACGTATTCGCTGAGACAAGCATCGCTACCTGATCTTAAGATCAACTACCGGTGAGTGTCGAGTACTTTTTTGTGTACGTCACCAAACCAATTAGACAAAAGCTGCTGTCAGTTCAAGTGTCACGCCCACTAAACGGCTGTGACGTATAAGCCGCGTTTAGCGCTTGATTCGCATTACTCATACGTACGGCGCGTGTTGGCAATTAGCTTAGAAAAATATTAAACAAATCGTTTTTAGGTGGCATAAAATTAGCATAACTAGAAGTTTTCCCACGATTTACATAGCTGACTAGTTAATAAATGATTACCAGCATTTTGATTGAACAACAATCGTATAAAATGTAAACAAAACAAAGTTTTAAACAGACTTCGAGTTGCCGATGCTTAGATACCCTTGCATATGCTAGCTGCACTTTACTCTCATGTTTCTGTTCTAGTTATTGGTTCGGGGATAAAAATATCTATAATTGATCGACGAATTGATGACCTGCTTAAGCAGGACAGCCTTTAAAGGTAGGGAAAACTACTACTACTACTTATATTCAATCGGAAATAACCTGGTATCACACAATTCGCGTCTTAGCTTTAAGACCCTCATTTATGGTATTGAAAGTGACGCTACAGCTGACTGGCTGCCAGACAGCGTGTAGCCGCTGGCCATAGCGTTAAACCAGTCGCTGGCATCGTGTCCGGTTGGCACAAAAGAATTTCACGCATTTTATTGGGTCTTAACTTATTATTATTGCTGCTCCGGCTGGGTCTACGGCGCCGGCGCCAACTCCCGCTGGCACCTGGACTAGCCCGCCCAACTCTGTTCTACGTTGTACGATTTTAGCTGCAGTTAATTAATGAGCGATCGAGCGACCAACAACTTGGCCGGCCTCATTCGATTTGCATTAATTACAGTTTTTAACACATGATATCGGTTGCAGTTGGGCTCAGTCCGTTTCCTTGACACTTCCTGCTGTTACTTTCCATGCGATTCTCTCAGCTTTCTTTCCATAAGTCGGTGAATTTTTATTCATTTTATTTGTTCTTGAGAGTGGGGAATTTTGTTGTATTTTCAATATTTTGTTTGACATTTTAACTTATCCTCTGATTTTAAATAGATAAAATTGTACTTTGCAAAACAGATAGAGTTTTTTTTTTAGAACGCAATATTTGAAAACTCGTAAACATTTGAATTTATTTACTTAATTTAACCATTTACTCATTCCAATGTAAATACAAAAATATTTAACAAGTCATTGTCTTTGCCATAAAAATACCATAAAATCTGTTAGCCAGATTATTATGCAAAACTTAACAAGGGCCCACGCGACTTCGATACTTTAGGTTTTGCTAGCTCCTTGCAACCTTTAGTAAATAAAAAAAGTCCAGTCCACATACAATTTGCATATAGAACATCGAGCAAATTGGCATTTTATTGAATTTGTATTAATTTTATAGTTTTTTTCCTTTTTCTTTTTGTTCAAAAAGCTGACGCACTGGGGGCTCTCTGAGACCGGCTTGAAGCGCTGTTGTAGTAAATGCCGTTTCTGCCGCCGTTTCAGACTTCTTGACGTTGTTAAGCTTTCGCATCTGAGTTTGGGTTGCCTATAAAATAACAAGAGACAAACGTGCGTTTTATTATTTCAACATCGCACTTGGCGCGCAACGGTCGCATATGCTACAGCGCTTTACTCTATCATAAGCTACAAAATTTAAAAAACGCACACACACACACACACATAAACATCCATCTATTTGCTTGACAGAGATCTTGACCATTATCAGCATGTGCAACAATAAGACTCTGCTGCTGCTTAGCATTGCACTGACCGCTCTGTGCCTGCTGCAGTGTGGCGAGGCGCTTCCTTCCATAGGACACTATGGCAAGCGATTTGGTATGTAATTAAAGCCACAAATAATGATTCCTTAAATTATATCCTTTTTTATTTTCATTTTATATTTTATATTCTATTTTGATCTACAGATCCCATGGGCGGCATTGATTTCATTCAGATTTGCCTGAACAACTGCGCCCAGTGCAAGAAAATGTTTGGGGATTACTTCCAGGGCCAGACCTGTGCCGAGTCCTGTCTCAAGTTCAAAGGCAAAGCCATACCGGATTGCGAAGATATTGGCTCTATAGCGCCGTTTCTGAACGCGCTCGAATAGAGGTTTCAAAGATGTATCCGACTCTTATAAACTGTATGTGTATGTGTGTGAGGAGTGTGTGTGTATTTTTATCGCCTGTGACTCAGACGCGTATTTGGGTCAATGCGATGCGATGCTCAACACGATCTTGGCTGATGAAGACCACGACCACGACCACGACCACGACGACGACGACACTAAAATCGAAACTGGCGCTCAATATATACAATTTAATGGCTTTAGCTACAATATTTACCTAGAGTTTCCGGCGAACCTCAGCTCAGCACGTAACCAAAAAAGTTCCTATAGTACTTACTTACCAACTAACATATGATGTTAACCAGCATTAAATAATAACAAGAATTTAAACAAACATTAACTTTGTTTTTATTTTTATTTAAATGATAGTTATTGCATATACAAAACTTACAACGAAATATTCGTATGTTTAAACATTATTAAAGGTCTTGTGTGTTGTTGAACGACCTTCTTGTAACTTACCCTGTATTTTTGCTATTTTAAAATAATACATATATACAAAAAAATGTATGGAAAATGCATGGAAATGTTGGAAATCACTATAGAAAATGGCAGTGTGAAACTAAAATTGACTGTCTTTAGAATGCATTAGTGCGAAGGATGCGTTGCAGCAAGAGAGAAGACTAGTAAAAGAGACTAAGCGGTAGTGGGAGATACTAAGAATGCAGAACTGGAAAACAAATGCCAAAGACTTGTGGTTCTTGGCTTCTTGCAAAAGGTGTACAGCTATGTCCAATATGGTATGTATGTAGAAAAATAATTAATAAAATGATGTTTACTTTCTAAAGTTGAGCAGCGTGTCGGGTATTTCATTGATATAGTTCTGCAAATAAAATACACAATTTATTAAATATTTTTTCCATCATAAATCCACTTGACTTACATAGACAGATGAGTCCAGACCATGGCTGCCGAAGTCAGCCCACTTGCTTAGATCCATAGAGGGTATAATGCCGCTCTTACAGGGCACGCGTGGATTGCTATGGAAATCATAAACTTAGATCACATTTTAATTGTCAGCCATAAACTTACATTTCGTGATCTGGCAGAACCATGGGATAGATTTGCACGGTGTCAATCAAATCGGTATTGTCGCAAATCAAACGCGAAAGCTTCGCCTTGCGTATTTCCTGCAGCTGCTCGGGTGTAAAGGAGGAAGGCTGATTGGGCAGTTCATACCAGAAGCGATCGCCGCGACGCAAGTAGCTCATCTGTGTGGCAATTATACACGCAAACGTGGGTCCCAGCATGGAGCCAGGCAGGGACTTCTCCGAGACGCCACCAGACCACAAATCAATATCGGCAGGATGTCTAACAAAGAGTGAAAGGAGCAAATGTTTAGAGGACTAAATCCAGCAGGCTAATTTATACTCACTCGAATATGCTGCCATAGCGTAGAACTGTCTCGTTTGGCATGGAGCCGTACATCTCATCCCACGTGTTGGATGTGGGCAGACCGCAGAACTTGCGGAACTCCATGTAGCCGGGTATGCCAAATTCACGTCCACGCTGCATGTTGAATGAGACCAAATCCATGCCAAAGCGCGCGCCCTCTTTTTTAAAGAGATGATTGGTGACCTCTTGGGTAATGGAGTCATCCATGGCCTGTGCCACTTGATTCATTAGACCCATAAAGTATTCATCCAGCACGCCAGCTCTATACAAATCATAAGGGCGTCGAATGAGGTCCGACAAACGCTTGGAGGCTATGAATTTGTGTGCCTTCGACCAGCGCTCCACGGCGGTGGGCAGCAATGAGTGGCCAAAGCGGAAGGCAGCGCCAGCAAATGAGTCAATGATGCCAGGATTGACATTCGGATCATACCCATCCCAGTAGCCATCCTTCTGCAACACCAGGCCAAACTTCTCCATCACTTCCTTGCCGAGCAGAATGGGCAGAAACTCGTTGTAGGTGACATGCTGCACTATGGCAATGTTGATGCGTCGCGCCTCCTGGAACAGCGTCTCGTCATCCCAGTGATGGTTAATTTGAGCCAGACCCGTGGCCAGACGATTGTGCTCCCTGGCCATGAGCGTGTGCATGCAGGTCAGCACCAGCTGCTCGTTAACACGGATCTCACCGCCCTCAAAGCAATACATGCTCTTGTTGGGGCGCGTGCAGCCCTCATCGGGTATGTCCAGTTTCAGGGGCAGCAAATCCTTCAAGCCATACTCCTGGAATACGGGATTCATGCGCATCAGACCGCCGTAGCCAGTGCGCAGCTTACGCGCAAACGATTCCTTAACGCCGTAAACAGTATTGGCATCAATGACGCCAGTCAAGGTGTTGAACTGCTGACGAGAACCTGAATTGGAATGAAATGGGCTTGTGATATCATCGATGATCGGTCTCAAGTTAAGGCGCTACTCACCCAAGCGACAGCCGGGTCTTGGTGATGGGAAGCCGCGCACGAAATCAATGCACTTGACATTAAAGAGCCGATAAAAGTAATCGTCATCGGGAATGCGTATCTCATTGCAATAGGGATGCTTCCGGTGCAGCGGTCGCTTGCAGCACTCCTCCGGATCGTTGCGATTGATGGGATCTGTAATCAGAGTGAATGGCTATTTAAAACGATTCCGTTTGCACAGTTGCTTGACCTACCCAAAGGCGTGCCAGTCAGCGTAAAGTCGTGATCCATGAACTGGCCCCAGGCAATGACCATAACGGTGCCCGCGTGATCATGATACCCATCATCTGGATGCATTGTGCGCGAGACCACACGCGAGTAGGGCAAGTCGTGGCCGGTAACCGAAATGCGCGGTGCATTGATGCCGTCCGCATAGAGTGGACCAATCAGGCGCTGAAAAGGCGAATTGGTAGCGCCCCAGGTGGGATGCTCAATATTGTTGCACAGCCCATCGAAACGGCGATATTTGCCCGGTCGGCATTCGACGCCAGCAAAGAATGGCGGGCAGACCTCGCGAATCAACGTCTTGGAGGTGTCTATGGTGGGCAGACCCTTCTCGATTTCCTCATAGGATAGGCCATAGCTGGAAGAAACGATTGTAGATTAGTTGCCAGCCAAGTTTAGCTAAATGTTGACAAATTATATCTAACAATATCTAAATTGCCCGCCAACAATTGCGGATATCGCCCAACATGGCATTTTTCTGTCGCGCCAACTGTTTGGTTCTCCTTTGAGCGGATATTTTTCAATCTTGTCAAAGATTGCAAAATTATCGAATTAGCCCAGTTCGGCACGCAATTAGCGCACTTTTGGCCCGGCTTACGGTGACAGACATTGATGTTGATATTTGAGATTTGACGTTGACATCAATGGCAAAATATTCGCTTTCAATTTAAGTCACTTGCCGTTTTATTGAAGCCGACTGCTAGGCCTGTGGCCCGTGAATTAAGCGCTGGTAATCTTTTATCTATTGCTGCCGAAAGTGCCGAAAAACTAAGTGGAAAAACTCTGGTGTTGCAGCATAATAAATTTGTGTCGGACACTTCCTCAAGTGCATGGGAAAGTGAGAAAAACTGCAGTAACCTGAGCAATGGAAAGGCAGCTGAAGCTAGGGCGAACCCATTGTTGTTGGCTCTGAAGATAGTGCAAACTGATATGAAGCTGGAAAAAAAAAACGTAACAGTCAATTGGGCTGGCAGTTAAATGGGCTGAAGGTCCATAAATTAAACTAGCTGAAGAAATGGCCAGGAAAAAGGTGCTGCTAACAGAAAACTTTCCAGCAGAGTATTAAAAGCCTTTCGAAAAGCATTGCAAATTAACTGATGCCTTACTAAATGGAATAGCAATTTACTGACTTTAGACAATATATGTCCTAATATTGTATACATTATATAAGTTTCCCAAAGTTCACAAGAACTCGTATGCCTGTAATTTTGTATATCTAATTTAAAATATTGAAAGCAATCCACAATTCCTTAAGCAAAAAAAAATTTTTTTTAATTCATGCTGTTCGCAGCTGGAATCAACACACCTTTCAGGTAATGGACAAAAATATATTTTTTCCAAATTTAAGAAACACTATTATTATTTTTAATTAATTGAATCAACTCTGCAACAATCACAATCTGAGTTAACATATTAGCTGTCTGTCAAAATTCGAATCTTTAAATAAAAAAAATTATTAATTAAATCTGATTCCATTCTAATCCTGCACCTTACATAATCGACCATTAAAAGACTGCTCCTAAACTGCCATTAAAATAGTTGTAACATTTTTATCATAAATAAAACGTTTGTATCTGATATTAATTGAGCCGCCGACCAGAGGCCATAATCATAGGATTATACAACAGCAGATGCATTGCTGATGATCCTCCTCGTACTCGTGTTAGATGAGCAGAGCGCGGGGGGTGTCCACAAAAGAAAGTCGCATTGAAGCACAGGCTGCAACTGCGAATGTAACTGTGGAACGGCGGCTGTGACCAACTGACTTGGCAACCCGCTTACCCACAAACGCCATTTGGCCAACCATAAAACTGGTAATGCTATGTTGCATCCTCAGCTGGCTGCTTCTTGTTTTCTGGTCGGGGGCAGCTCACTCTCACTGAGGCTGCCATCCCGAACAGACGATGCATTGCATAATTCGCTTTTGTTTACATTTTGCGCAGCGAGCACAACAAATAGCTGGCAAAATATTTGGAGGCGAATAGAAAACAAAAAATAGAGTTGCGCCAGTTTGAAGAAGTTTGCAGATGGCGCATCGACAGAGTCAGGCTAGCACATGACTGCAGGTGGCCAAGTGGCCATCAGTCAAAGCCACCGACAGCGGCGACGACAGTAAATTTGGCATTGCAATTAGCATTTGCATGTGCCAAACTTTCAAATTCATCCAATCCGCAGAACCTTGAAGCCAGGCTCAGCACCAGTTCGGTTTAGTTCAGTTCCAGCTTCAAACTCATACATATTTATGACTGCAGGCGGTCTGGACGGGCAACAGCACCAGCGTCACCATCAGCACGAGCACGAGCACGATTTAAGTGCCATGTCATGCGTTATTTGGCAATCATTTATTGGGGCTGTGGGCGTGCCAGGCGCAACTTTCAAAATGCGTTTAGCATTTATTACCGTAACATTTACTTACGTGCGCGCCAACTGTATGGATATATCGAGCAGCAGCTCGCCCACGGTGGCCAGCTCCTCGGGCTTCCAATCGGACTTGGGCTCGGCCACATCTGCAAAGTGCATCAGATATATAGATGTAATATTAATAGTGTGCTTATCTGTGCATTGTTTAAACGTATCCACACTTACGTATACGCTTGCGTGCATCCGAATAGGCCGCATTGATGGCATCGTAGGTAATGCAAGTGCCCGCACCGCTGCTGTAGGGGTTTCTGCAAGGGAGAGGCAAACAAGAAGATTATTGAATGCTATTGACAATAGAAAGCAATTTGTCGCTATCACATGCTCACCACGCACACCAGTCACACGCCCACCCACACAGACACACACGCACACGCACACGCACACACACACACACACACACACACCCTCACAGTCTGTGCAATGTCTGATAATCAAATTATTGACGGGCCAGCGAGTAAGGCAGCAGGCAGCTGGCTACAGGAAACGGAAATGTTGGCTACAGTTGAATACGTGACTTAGTCGAGGCAACATGCAGCAAGCACGCAGCCAGCTGAGGCGCATATTGTGGACTCATCGTGCAACTGATTTGAATTCAACAATGCAGCAGCTGTTGCACAAGCACTGCCCAGCATCTGCATGGAGTCAAAAGCTGCTTAAATTGACCAAATTGTTCCTATTGTGTGTTTTAGGTATATTCTTATTGAACTACTACCAAACGGAGTTGCAGGGGCAGGTGAGCTAAACAATTGATTGCATATGCACAGCATTTTGTACCTTTTGACATTCTTCTAGCGCTGTACCTTGGGACTGCCACGCCCTTTGCGCTATGCGCTGCGACCGCCAGAACGGTGTGATTTCTGTGCCAACATCAATAGCGTGCCACGCCTAACCAACCTTAGCCCAGCCTCATTCGAGGAAAGGTATGCATATAGTGGTGCACCCGTCATTGTCAGCGATGCCATGCAGAACTGGACAGCCACAACGGTGGGTTAGCCAGCCAATTAAATCTTGATTAACAATATTTGGTTAACAAATACTGTGCTTAGCTCTTCAATTACTGGTACTTTCGGGATGTCTATCGCAAGGCTAAGCGCAAGCAGCGCATACGTGACTGCCAGTTTTTGCCCTACAAAACGGGCTTTAAGGATATCTACGAGGCCTTGGACATGCCGCGGTCGCGCGTGGAGTTGGAAGCGAATGAGGCACCTTGGTACTTTGGCTGGAGCAATTGTCATGCCGAGACAGCCGAAGAGTTTCGCAGGCATTATGGCAGGCCCTACTTTCTGCCTGAGCGCTCGGAGAACAATGCAGTTGATTGGTTTTTCATAGGCACTGCCGGACTGGGCGCCCAAATGCATGTGAGTACAAGGGTTTCGGCTTGAATGGTTTAGTCATGAGCTCCTTCAAATCCCCTTAGATTGATAACGTGCGTTTGCCGTCGTGGCAGGCGCAGTTGGCAGGCAGCAAGCGCTGGCTGCTAGTGCCACCGCCCGAATGCTATTTCCAGTGCAAGCGCTTCGAAGTGGTTGTGCAACAAGGAGACATAAGTAAGTCTAGAGGTAAACGAGGTCTTAGCAAGTCTTTAAGTAAAATTTTTTGTCTATTTTGCAGTCGTTCTGGATACGAACAGATGGTATCATCAAACGTTTGTGCAACCCGGCGCCATTAGCCTAACCATTGGTGCCGAATATGACTAACTCAATTCCATTAAAAAGTGGGTTTTTCTCAGCAGGAAACAAAATGCAACAGTTGCAGCAGCACACACACACAAGCACGCACACACACAGCATCTCGGGCCAAATAAATAAGCTAAAATCTAGCTGTAACTGTAACTGTAACAGTAACAACTTAACTTAACTTTTAACATTGCATTTGCGTTTGTAGCCGGTTTGTTAATTAAATGCCAAAACACGCAAATTTCTCGTCTTGCGAACTGCTCGAAAAGCCCCCTAAATAGGGGGCACAGCGACTTCCTCAAATGGAGCGACATGTAAAACGCGTGTCAGGTGACAACGATACATGTTAACAATGCGTAAGTATTAAATAATTACAGCAACAGCAACAACAACAACAACAACAAATGCAACACACACCATAGCACCCAAGACATTGGCCAGACACGCAATGCAAAATCCATTTAAGCAATGGACGACATTCTTCGCGAACTTGCATCCATATTTTGTGTGCAACATGCTGCATACGCAGTTAAAGGGGTCTAATGATATTGAGATAAGGTATGTAACATACCAGGGAAAATATTTCACTTTAACCGCCTATCTATTGGTTAATTACATCCTCAATAGGGCGTGTACTCAAGGAAGTGCTTAAATTGCAGCCATTTAAAGTGTTAGTATTTTAGATAAGTTTTTTAAAGTTAATTAAAGTTCAGTTTACATATTTTTATATATTTAAATGAGGCAAAAATACTCAAAAGTGGTTTAATTTTGAAATATAAAACGATGATTATGATATCAGCGCTCCCAGACAAAGAATAATTCGCATCTTATAAGCTTGCATTTCCCAGAGGGAAATCTAATAAATGAATATTAACATCTTAAAAAAATTCAATCATGGTATTCTTATATCCAATATTATATTTATTATTTTATATTTTTGTATGTTATATAAACTGCTCTTTAAACGGATTTTTGAACTAAGATATGCGTTCTTATATTGCTGAAATTGCAATTTCGTGTCCAGTTAGGGTGCACAACAAAGGCTGCTTAGATTTTGAAATTGTTTTTGGGGAAAATTTGTCAAATGCAAAATGGCTGCTGGCATTTAACTGGTCTGCCAGTTAGTTTTAAAATTTATTGCTGATGGAAAGTTCAATGTGCGCATTGGACTGGCCGGCGGACAGTCAGAGATAGAGTTTTGGGCCAACTAGAAAGTTGCTCGCATGCGGCACGCACTGGAATCGGCTTGGTGCGACTGGGACTTGCTATCCTGATTGGGTTGCTGTGGCACAATGAATGTGCATCTTGTTGCACGGTTTGCACGCTTGCAGGTGCGCGAATAAACTGTTGCGAATGCTTCCTGCTGAAAGTGAAACTGTATCTGGTTGCCTGGGCCGGCATGGCGTATGCGTAATATTGCGAATTGTGAGTAATTGCAAAAGCATGTCGTAAATCCACAGACACAACATCCCAACCTCAGTTATCTACACACTCGTGAATTTTTGGGGCCTTGTGGCATAACCAAGACGATCGCCGGGGCTACCACGCTTACGCTGACGTGCGTCCAGCCGAGAAAATAGTTTACTAAACATATATCAGAGCTGCAGCATCAGTTGCAGCAGCCGCAGCCGCAGCAGCAACAGCAATGAAAGTGTCCCGGGTCGGGAAACCTGTATTTATCATTTAAGTAGGTTGTTGTGGCTGCAATTGTTGCAATTGGACTGCATTTTTTGCCGGCCGCAACAAAGTTCAATAGCCAGGGCAAAGCCACATAGTTGCCGAGTCACGTTTTACGCCAGGCAACCCCAAATTAGCTCAACTCTCTGGTGACCCCTATATTAAATTTGTTATGGCCCGATCGTGCGACATTTAAAATTGTAACCATCTGCGGCATAGCTGCGACTTTGTGGCGCATGGTCGAAGTTCAGAAATTGTCTTTTGCCACTTTTTTTCAAAGTCACATTTCGAAATCGCTTCAAAACTTTAGTTCGCAATCAATGGAAGAGGCGGCCATGCAGCAGCAGCAGCGGCAGCGGCAGCTGTTTGCCGCACTGCGCCGCAGGTGCCTGTGGCGTCTCAAAGTGTTGCAATGCCATTTATTTGTATAGCTGCTGTTGGTGTTTTTTTTTTTTCGTATTTGTTATTGGTTTGCTGCTGCCGCAGCTGCCTTTTTGTTGTGCGGTTTTTACCAATAAATCTGTTGAGGCTTGTCAAGTGCCGTCAAACCGACGCGTTCGCATCACATGACTCGGTCTTCACGTTGTGCCAAAGACAGAGTATCCGAAGTCGAGGTCAATAGCTTAGCTGTACATCAGAAGTTAACATTTAATTCTCACAACACACGCTTTTTGATTATAGTAACATTTCATTCAGCGTTTATTTATATTTTAACAAAAGAGAATATGGGCCAAGTCACATGTGTTTTAATGCGATGCATTCAATATTGTGTTTTTAATAAGGTCAAATAGGTACATATTGTTTCAAAACTATAATGTGCTCTATATGAGCAGTCGACTATATAATCCACAGTAAACTTGCATTAGGCAAAACAAGTACTGCAAACACTGTCCTCAACATGAGATCTCTCACAATTCTTTTCCTGCTCGCAGTTACTTTCTGTGCACTGTGCGGAGTAAATAGTCAACGGGTGCCCAGATGCCCTGCGTGCACCAGGGAATTAAAGCCTGTTTGTGGCACCTGGAGGCGCGGCAGGTTAACCAGCACCTGTACTTTTGGCAATGAGTGCATGATGAGAAATCAGATATGCACCACTAATCAAGGTATGCAAATGGAGTTGTTCTTTTCAGACTTATGCTAACTGTTTATACTTCGAATCAGATTGGAAGCACGCACATATTGGAAATTGCAGGAGGGAAACAAATGATTGCAGAACGATTTTGACCTCAAACTGCGGCTGATCACTAAGCACCTATTAAACAATTTACAGAGCTTATTAATATATCTTTTTGATTTATATAACAAAAGCCAATATGGCACAAGTAGCATGTATTTTAATGCGTTGCATTCTATATTGTGTTTTTAATTGGGTCAAGTAAATACGTATTGATTATAAATAATGTGTTCTATATGAGCAGTGGACTATATAAGCCGAAGTTTGCTCCCAAAAAGATTCAGAAGTACACTGTCCTCAACATGAGATCTGTCACAATTCTTTTCCTGCTCGCAGCTAGTTTCTGTGCAATGTGGGGTGTAAATAGTCAACGGGCGCCCACATGCCCAACTGTGTGCACCATGGAATATAGGCCTGTTTGTGCCACCTGGAAACGTGGCAGGTTAACCAGCACCTGTACTTTTAGCAATGCTTGCAGGATGAGAGTTCAAATATGTACCACTAATCAAGGTATGCAAATAGAATTGTTATTTACTGGCATATACTAACTGTTTACATTCTCAATCAGCTTGGAGACTCACCAATACTGGCGAATGCAGAAGGAATTCAAATGATTGCAGAAGGATTTTGGCCTCAACCTCCGGCTGATCACTAAACACCTATTCAACGATTTATAGAGTTTATATATTTTTCATTTTTTAACAAAAGCCATTATGGCACAAGTGGCACGTATTACAATGCGTTGCATTCAATATTGTGTTTTTAATTGAGTCTAGTAAATACATATTGATTATAAATAATGCGTTCTCTATGAGCAGTGGACTATATAAGCCACAATCAGCTCCCAAAAAGCTTCAGAAGTACACTGTCCTCAACATGAGATCTGTCACAATTGTTTTCCTGCTTGCAGTTAATTTCTGTGCAATGTGGTCTGTAAATGGTCATCGGGTGCCCAGATGCCCAACTGCGTGCAGCAGGGAATTTAACCCTGTTTGTGCCACCTGGACACGTGGCAAGCGCACCAGCACCTGTACTTTTGGCACTGAGTGCATGATGAGATATCAGATATGCACCAAATCTCAAGGTAAGCATATAGACTTGCTATTTACGGGCCTATACTAACTGTTTACATTCTCAATCAGCTTGGAAACTAACTAATACTGGCAGTTGTAAAAGGGATTCAAAGGATTGCAGCAAGATTTTGACCTCGAACTCCGGCTGATAACTAAGCACCTGTTCAACAATTTATAACGTTTCAACCAATCGACAACTAATATACTAATATATTTATTTTGATAATGCATATATCTTTTATTTATCAACTTGTGGTAATGTAGTTGTCCGTTTTGAAGAGCTCTGATCTACTCCTGTCTCACAGCAGATCCAATCACTCAGCATGCCTTTAACAACTGACACTAAGCTACACTGCGGCTACCCGCTGAGATGTGTGCCCCATTCATATGCGAATATGTCAGGCCAAGACGCAAGTTGAAGACTCGCTCCCAGGCGTGCAGCTTTTGCCCCCGTTGCCCATTTGGCAAGACAAACCGTTTCAACACGCCGCCACGTTGTTGTCGCTGCCACTGTTAATGATTAGCTCAAAGCCGGCTGTCGTTTTTGTTGTGGTTGTTGTAGGTGTAGAGTATCGACAGGCAGTGCATGTTGCCACTGCTTTAACAGCACCCAAGATTTATGACTGTCAGCTTAGCATTTTGCCGTTTTGGTGTCAACGTTCAAATATTTGCGCACAAACGTAACCCAGAATGCCTCTGGTGCATTTTCTATTTGTACTTACAGCGTGCCGCGAAACAAATTCACATTGTAGTCATAGACGGAGGAACGACCCGGTCCGGCCAACAGCAGGGCACAGTCCGAGCCATGAGGCGACTGCAGTTGCGCCCCAAACTGATGATATTGCGCCTGAGCGGCACTCAGCAGACACAGCGCAAGTATTCTGCGAATATAGACAAAATGAAGGTACATTTATTTAATAATTATTATTATATTATAATGTATTTATTGTATTACTATTATTGTTAATATAATATTAAATAGCTTTCCGCTAAGAAGGTTAATTGAATTATTGGCCTGGGTTTAACACATATGAATATTATTAGCAAAATAGCTTTACGCCCGTAGCAAGGTCTATCAATCATCAGTTGCAACAACAATAACAAAACTAGCAACAGCGGCAGCAACAGCTGTCGAATTGCTGCCAATGTAGCCAATTTCAATTGCATTGTTTTTGGCTGTCCATTGTTTTTGGGCCACATTTCGCGGCGTCTGGCTGCTTGACAGCTGGCAACCTTGCTTTTATTGAGTCAAATTTATGACTTGGGGCACGTGTTGATGTTAATGGCTTGTTAGCCTTTGTCACCTGCACAGAGCCAGACATTAAAACATATTTTCGGTCAATTGTTAATGACTTTTCATAACTATCGATTGTTAATGCTGACAACAACAACAGCAGCAGTGAAAGTGCCCAGTGTTGCTCTACCATCTGTTCGCGTTCATTTATGATCTATTGCTTTGAGTTTTTGATGAAAATAGCTGCTTAGGGCATATCGCGCTGTTCCGCTCTTGTGTAAGCGAAATAAAACGCACTTAAATCCTTTCACTTTCCACTTCGCATACAATTTGTTGCTTTGTACTAAGGCTTTCTTTTCAGCTGGCCACATAAAACGCGGTGCGGCAAAGATACTGCAATTGTATCCCATTTCAGCGCAGCCCATTGATGCCCCCGAGTAATATGAGCGACATTGTGGAATTACCAACCATAGCCAACTCTAAAGGCTATTGTTAAATAATTTTATAAATAAGCTTGTATTTTTGGCAATTTAACAAGTGTTCTCTTTATGCATATCTGGAGAGCACACATTTATATATTTTACCTTTAATTTGATCATTGTAAAATCTCGCATTTTGTGACTAAAAGTTATCATTTACACATATAGCAAGCTCTTCATGCCTTGAGGTACTAACAATATTTTATTTGTAATTACGCAGCAACTGTGTGTTGCATAAAAAGACATTTGAAAAGCCACACAAATCAAAATGGTTCAAGGCAACATTTCGAAAATATGAGCCAGTAAATGCGAAAAGCGTGCAATGTTGGTAATTAAACGGTCGGTAAGTTGTATTTGTGGTATTTGGCCCGTTTGGGCCATAAGCCGTCATGCCAAGGCAATTAGAACGCAGCAAAAGGCACAGGCGCCCACGCAGTGATTGGCTAGCTGGATTCGAATTGGCCACGCCTCACAAAATTGAACTGCTCCGAGTTGATTGCATGCAGGCAGCCGCTGCGTAAGTCAATTAATTGTTGCTCGCCAGTGGGGCGACAGCTTTTGTGAAAGGCGCTCACGCACACACGCAAAAATTGCCAACGTCCTTCTGGCCAAGTTGCAAACAAAACGACAAAATTTTTGCATATTCACGCAGCGTCAAGTTTTACACCTGCCCGCAAGAGCCAATTAATTTTTTGGCGGCTGCTGCTAACAGCTTTTTATACACATATATATATATATAGTATATGTTAAGCCGCAATTGCAACTTATCTAACGATTCAGCACATTTGCATTTGCAGTGCACCTCTTGTCCAGCTCAACCTATATTTTGGCAACAATCTGACCATATTTGGGCTTGGGCCACCTTTACTGACTTTGAGTATGTGCCCAAAACTCAAGCGACCTTTTTTTAGCCTGTTCCAGACAGGCCAAAGCCAAAAGCCATAACGAATTAGGAGCATAAACAAAATACAATCCGTTAACAATATCTGTCTGCTAACGATGCTGCGCACTGAGCTTTCAACATTGTTAACAAAAAGGCTAAATTCAACCGGCTTGTTGTGGCCTGAAATGGAAGCCACTAATCTTCGCATATTTAAAGCGCGTCCACAGTTGACATTTGTTAATAATTTTTACCAGCGTCACGTTAATTGCCTGCTGCATTGTTGTTGTTCCATTGTTGTGGCATTGCCAGATGTTGCATGTGACTGTGGATTTGCATCGCATGATGCCCGCTGCCACTTTGTTATGTCACCTCTTGGCTGGCATTCATGTAAGTCTTATACAGCATATCGCCCAGGCCCAGGGGCGCGCCAAGTGCATAGGACCTTTTGTTGGGCCTTTTATGTGGACTCTTTTCATTGTGGTTGCTGCAGCTGCTGTTGCTGTAGGTGCTGCATCTTACCTCATCGCTCAGCATTGTCTTGCGGTATCATATGTAAATTGCTTACACCCCTGGGTTTTATAGTATCTCTTGGCAAAGTGTTGAAATGCGCATAATTTTCACTGATTAATACTGAATTAACACACGAAATGCTTTCATAACAATGTATTTAATCCACTTGGCAAGAGAAGCTCAAAGTGTATTCGATTAAAATGGTGCTCCCTTAAAACAGAATAAACATATGTACAAAATTAATAGATATATATCAAATATACTCATACAAAGCCAATGACCTTAAGCGTATTGTTATAGATCTTAGTTCCAGATAAAGTGTAGTATTTTTGTAATAAAGTTGTATTAATAATTAATATTTCAGTACATTTAAAGCTTCAACTACAATTCACTTTTTAACCATTTTAAAGTGAGAGGCTATACGGATATATCTGTTAAAGTCTTCGAAGAACTGACAGATAGACAGACTGAAAGTTCGACTGACAAAAAAAAACTGACATGGCTAGATCGACAAGGTTATTAATTCTGACTAAAATTGTTTTTATACATATCAGTATTCGGAAATGAATTCTTATGCGTGTTAATTACATAACTTTTTCATATTTTAGTCTTACTAAGAAGTTTACATAATAACATATACCTTTCTCATATTTTAAATCAAATATATATTTTATCGAATGCATTTCTTTATTATATCGTTTGACTTTGGATATTTGAAAATTAATAAGAAGTCATTCCCGAAATACAGACAGCATCATCAACAATAAAAGCCTAGGCAACTTTAAGTAGGTCTCTATTGGACTGCTAATGTTGAATTCATGACGTTTTAATTGTCGCTTTTAATTTTAATTTAGTTAATTCACATAGATTCAAAAACTAATAGTTTGATAATTAACTTTATGTTTTATTAAATACACTCTTTCATTCATTAATTAAGTTTTGTTGTCTTTTATGTGTTTGACTTTGTAGTATTTGGACTTGTATATTAATTAGGAGTCATTCATAAATATGGAAGTGACCGACAGACAAACAACGCCTGAACTACAACAAAAACCCAGACATATGGAAGTAGGTCTTGTCTCTATTCGATTGCTAATGTCGAATTCATGACGTTTTAATTGTCGCATTTAGTTTTTGCTCAACATTGTGCACCGGCTGCTGTTGCGCCGGCCAATTGCTCAAGTCAAAGTGAATCTCACACTAGGCAGAATTGAGACTGAGCAGACCAGGCTCTGACCAGGCCACTGTCATGTACTCACATCCGTTGGTTATTCCAAACGCAACTGCATAAAAAAAAAACAAATCAATAGCGCACACATGGCGCATGCTTAATAAACTGTTGGCCAATTGCAACATGAGGCGCATTTATGTGGCATTAGTGTCGCTCTTTTTTTATTGTGCCATAAATCGGCAAGCTGTGCAGCGGTAAACACGTTTCATGGATCCGCGCTATGGGCTAATAAGCGGGCTGAAGCTGCCTTAGTTCGAATTGACCTAAAAAAAGCGCTCAGGAACTTATCAATTTCATGGAATCGACTTCATCTCGTGAAGGGTTTGATATATCACCCAATGAACCGTTGCACGCAATCGCCAGGTTTCAGATAAGCATCAGACATGGCTTACGTGCAGTTTATGGACGGTTAAATATCGAATTCATTCGATTAGAATGTAACGCGCAGACATGCCAAAGCGCGGCAGCAGCTGCTGCAACAGCTATTGATCTTTGTTGCGCATACGCCGCGTTGCACAGCTGCCCGTGATAACTAAGTAGGCGATCTGCGGGCAACGGCTTATTAATTGGGCCCGCAACAAGCTAACGCCTTTGCAGATTTATAACTCACAGTGCCTCGGCTAATTGCAAACAAATTGCAGTGCTTAGCGGCCAGTCAAATATTGTATGTGCAGCCAGTTTCAATGCCAACTTATTGATCAAAATACAAGAATTTTATGAAGTGCAAACTCAATGCAAAACTAGCTGCTGTCCAGGCCCGCAATCGACTGTAAATGCATAAATCAAATAGAAACAACTTTTGCATTTGATGTTGAGCGCTGATTTCGGTTTGCTGTTTTTGTACAAGTAACTGCCTTGATTTTCTTAGCCTTACCCAACTTTGAAGACTGTGTCTCAGCGGAGGCATCCTCATGTGACACCTACATACATGCTTGGACACTCAGTGCTTACTTATGGCAACGCCTTTCACCTGTTGCTGTAGCATTTGTTGTTTTCAACAATTACCCAAATTGTTGCATGATTTCAATAACTCAGCAACTGTGGCTTCGACTTCAAATGCCTTACAATTGGCACATCGTCATCATCATCATCAATTTGAGTGCGAATGATGCAAGAGCCACTCCACTTGGTCTGCCTACAAATGAGCGGGTGATTATCGCTTAGTTATTTGTGGATTTGTATAGTTTTTGGATATTTGGATTTGTGTATTTGGCTATTGCGTAGCTTCTCAGCATGCCAACATGCAGCATAATGCACTGCGCTTTATTTAAATAGTTTTCCAAAGACTAGCTGCATCTGTTTTTTGTTTTCGGGGCGCTGCAACATGCTGCATAGTTTTGCTTTCCGTTGCCCCATCATTTTGACAAGCGCACATGAAGAAGTGAAACAATAACCCTGCGCCAGATATTTGGGTTAGTTTGGCTCTCACGATCTATAAGACTCTGTTATTGTCGAACCAAGGCGCTTCATTCTGTAGCACGATCGCCGACAGCTACTGCATATTAATTAATGCTGGCGACTTTTGACTGATAAGCGCAAAAAAAAAAACTGCGTTGATTTTAAATATGTAGACCAAGAGATCCGAAATAAAACACATTTCACTTTCGGTTCTCACGGTCGGTAGCTAGCTGAGAAGCATATATCTAGTATACGACCAGTATACATGAGCATATAAATAACATTCATTTGTCATAGCTATTTGTAACACTTTCTCGCATCTGAGTCAGCAGATTTTGGTGTACATCTTAGAAAAGTGGAAAAATTTCTACACATGAATAGGATTAGCACAGACAAATATGAATTGCAATTTCATGGGTGATTACTGTGCATGTTTAAAGCCATGCTTGTAGTACTTGGTGTAAACCCAAAGAGAAGTGTTGTAAGATTTTTGGTTGGACTTTAGTTTTCGCCATCCGTTATCACCCTTTGCTAAACTTACTTAACCAAGCCGTAATTTTTTACTTTTGCACGCTGAACTTTCATTTGTTACGCGTAGAGGATCATTAATAGATCGCCAAATGGAAAACTAATGCAAAAACTCAATTAAATGTCTAGGTATACAAACATGCGCCAAAAATAAACCTTGATGTGGGCAGCGTGCACATTATAAAAATTATATCGGTTAATTTAACTTAATGTCGTGTCTTATGGCGCATCATCATCAGTTGAAATACAATTTCAAAGATCTGTAAATCAAAAGTGAATGTTGGGCCAACATTCACTTTGAAAATCGAGCACTCCGCCAAGTGCCGCAAAGCCCATCAATGTCAGGCGCACAATTTTTGTGTTGAAAGCAAAAACCGTCACGTGGTTTGTTGCCCAAGAAACATGGTTAAACGGGAAGGGGTACAAGGAATTGGCATTATACAAGTAATTGTAGCAAAGCACATGACCTAAAACGATGCTCAGCCGATGCTCAGCCGATGCTCAGCTAAAAAAACGAACTCAAGTACAAAATAGAAACAGCTCACAATTTTACCACAGCTCTTGGCTGTGGCGGCTTCTGTGGCTACTGCTGCTGCCTTCAATTGAACCTTACAAGGCTGTTTATGTAACAAAAGCAAGAGCATCCAATTTCAGTGGGCTCTGTTTGAACCGAAATACATATGTGAATTTGGTCAAATAAATGATTTATTATGGTCAGCGGCTCATTACTACGCAGCACAACGCGACTTTATCGCAACACCTCAATCTTTGGGCGCTTTCCAATTTCAAAAAACACGCCCACCAATCGACAGCTATGATTTGTGGCTCATTTGCGTGCTGTGGCACAGAAAGTGCATGCAAATTGCCAATTGCAGACTGAGCTGCAGCAGCCTTGACACAAATTCGACGTGCAGCAGTGGCAGCAGCCATAGTCAGTGCGATCAGCCACTATAATCTCTCTGCAACTACCTGTTGGCTCTGCTCTCTATAGTAACAATCATGTCTTCATTTTATAACATTGGCTCGAACCGGATTTCTAGCAAGTCACGCGGCAGATGCAGCCCAGTTTCAGTGCGGGGCACATGACCAGCAATTGCAGCAGGAAATCAACTGCGCGTTGCACTTAAGGCTGTTTTTAGCCTGTCTTCTACATTTAAGGAGAAAGTAAAGTGGACAAATCCAGACACAGTCGCAGACGACGCTGGCCGTCAACTGGTTGAGCATGAATTCCAAATCAACAACTGGCAATCATTTGGCCAATTGTGTAACTCGAGTTGAACTTCGATAGAAATGTTAATGACCTCGTTAACGCCTACCGTTGTCTTGGCTTGGAGATCAAAAATAAAAAACGCATGATCACGCTCTGTTCTTAATTTATGTTTACTAATAGCTTCATTTTATGAATGCTCTCGGAACCACGAACAAACCAACAAACGTGGGCAACAACCGACAATTAACAGCAAGGCGATAACTCAATATTGTTGCCATAAATTGTTGGCCCAGTCTTATGCTTATTTCAGCTGTTAACTTAGGTGCGAACTGCCGTTAGCCACAGAACGAACCATGGAAAAGACCACGAACAATTAGCTATTCGAAGGCATTGCCAGGCATTAAACAGTGTCTGACTCATGCCCAACCTAACCACGCCCACAACAGTACTTTCTGAAAAGCCTTAAGCCGCAGCTTAGCCGACTAGTCGACTACCTTGCCATTATGCGCTTATACGCGCCTTCGACAAAAAGTTAACTATTTAAAATAATATATTCAATTCTACGAATATTGTGCCCATATTGTTTTGCCAGGCTTAAAGTCTTATCTTTCACCTTTGCTGCTGCTTAATTGCTTTTTAAATGAAACTGTAGTCAAACTGAGCTCAATTTAAGTAGGTGTGAATGACGAAACGATCCCCAAACAGCGGACACTACTAAGCCAAGAGCATGACCTATACGCTCATTAACTAAACTAGCTAAGCTTTGCCTAGAGGCTGTCTGTGATGATTTGTTCAGCTGTAGCTCGCAACAAGATCATTATTTGTAAGCTGTGATTGGCGCGTGACAAAAAAGTGATATTGTGTAGAAAGTTTTCGGAAGTCATAAGTCGCGGATGTACTTAGTTATTTAGAAGGAACAACGGACATGTGGTACTTTTAGCCTTTCGTAGAACTCATTAAGCCGCAACTTTAACAACTACACAATCAACATGTGGCTACCATTTACAGCGTACAATCAAAACAGATACAACATCTACAACCTGAATATAAATGTGGTAATCAAAACACAAACATGGCACAGAAGGCAGAAGTTTATTAAACAGCGCCAACAGAACTCACACAAATTTCTCTGCCGGCCACGCAGAACTTTCCAGTGCCACGCCAAGAGAAACGGTAAAATGTCAACAGAAAGTTTTCATAACTCAGCGGCAGGCACATAAAAATTACATAAAACTACAAAAATACTTAAAGCTAGTTAGGAGCTTGAATTAGGCTCAGCTTTGTGCCACACACGCGGCAAAATTAACTTAAACTATTTGAAATAAGGCGACATGCCATAAATAAAAATTCAACTCATTAGTGTGGCACAGAAATAGCCAACTATTTTGGCCGTGGAGGGGAGCAGGGAACATACCTTAAAATCATTTTGTTGACGTTGCACGTTGCCGCTTGGCCGTTGATCGTTGCGGCTGTTAATGACTTCTTTAAATGCGTTTTTGCGTCGATTTTCGCACGCAAACACCAAAAGCTGCGGATTAATCCAATTATGGCCGTTCGAACGATAAAGTGGAACGGTGCGACAGCCCACGCAGTTTCTTATGATGGTATTTTTTTCCCACTTGGCCTTAATTATTTTTCGAGCCTGTTGGCCGAAATGCAGCACGCAGCTGCTGGGCCTATGCACAAAGTCTTCTTCAGGTTTGTCTCTTAAGTCTTTTGTTTTTTAGCACATTTCTTTGTTACTTTTTGTTTTGTCCAAAGCCGGCAATGTATAGGAAACACATGTGCTTTTAAATTTCACCCTTTGTCACTTTTTTTGCATAAATTTTTCTTAATTTAATTTATTCACTGCACTTGTTTGCGTTGCTATCTGTTCAACACTTTAAACACCCAGCACCAAGTACCGTTAGCCGCTTGCTGTACCGCCACGGCGTGTGTCCAACAAATAACTGAACTCAGCAGCCCAATGCTGCCACACAAAACCAAATAGCTTGCCGACTTGAATGCTGCTGCGTCAACGTCAACGCCGCGACGCCAACGCCAACGCCAACAGCGACAACAACATCGACAGCGACAGCGACAACGGCTACAGCAACAGCAACACGATAGCGATAGCAGGCCAATACAACGGTCCCAACGGTTACCCTGTACTTTGGTTATCAGGCAAGCAGCTGCGAACAACACCGGCAAAACAAACGCCCAAAGCCAATGACGCGAACTTCTCCGATGCGGGCTTTAAGCTCGACTTTGAGTCGCGTTGTCGTGTTTGAGTGCAAATTTGAGCGTGCGCTAGTCGGGCTTCGACTGCCCACATGTGTTGAGTTTACTGTGGTAGCTTTTGGCGTGGTGGCAAATTGAGTTGTACGCGCATGAGGTTCGTTGCCTAAGTCTTTTGTATTGATATGACAAATGCGACTATGTTATGCGATGAGCATTGTTGAATGAGGATTAATTTTCTTATTATTACATAATCCTAAATATTATGTATGTCCCAAATCTATCTTTTATGAATATCTTATGCAACATTTTCAAAATGACAAAAAAATTGTATGCTATAAAGTGTTTTATAGTACTACAATATATATTAATTAGTATTATAACTATGACCATTTCGATTCATTTCAAAGTATTGATATTAAAAATTGTGTGGTATATGCTTATGTAATTATTTACATTAAATTAAACCACATTCACTCTGGCTAAATAATCTAAATTTATAGAGCCGTACGCACGAGCAAATCATTTTTAAACTCAAACGTTCTTATTCAAATATCCACGCCATAAGCCTAAAATCAACCAAAGCTCACAAACAAGTCAAAATGCTGAACCATTAAAATTAATTTAATTTGAACCACACTCAAAAATTTAATCTTTTTTGGCATTTTTTCCATATCGATGTTATGGCCTTTGATATTGGTTGTGGCTTTGTTGCCTTTACAATTGCTTTGCATGAACGCATGAAAATTGTGCAACTACTTCAACAGCAATAAGAACAACCACAGTGTGACACGAGCTCCACGCATTTTTGAAAAGTGGTTTTCGGCTTTGTTGCTGTTCTCTTAGTTAAGCACAACAAGAGGCAGTTTTTTATGCGCATTACAATCTGCGTTATCGACCTGGTTTGACAGCATTACATTTTGTTTCGTTTTTGTCTCGTTTTACTTTAAGTTTATTAAACATGCCATTAAATTTTAATGGTGTGTGACATTTTTGTTTACGCACAGCCTAAATGTAGAGCAAAACATTAGCATGTTTGCATATTAGTTTCTCATTTTTCTAGCTTGTCATTGAGTTGCTTAATTAATATTTATCGCATGGCATTTTGTATGCGAGTGCATCAAAATAAAGTCGTTTCGCTTTGAGCTGACAAAAAGCTCGTTGCTTTGGCAAAAGTTAATTGCTAACGCGGCTTCAAATTGGCCATTTGATTAGCTCGCCAGAGCAGCAGCCAACTGAGCCACAAATGGTCCATGTTAAGCCAATTTAATTAAGTTGGAGGCGCTGAATGGCTGCCACAGTCGCTGCAGACAACCTTGCGGGCATTCTTAACATGTTCAAGATTTTTACCAACGCACCGCATGTAGGCTTGTTGTTGTTGCTGCTGCGTTCACTTTTCAAATGCTTACAAAATGTCAATTTTCGGCACAATGTTATTTGTTACTTGATCGAAGCGATTGAGCAATTGTTGATATGTTTGTACTGATTTAATGGCCGCCTAGCTAATTGTATAAGAAAATCGCACGAATATGTCTCAGAAATTAAAAACTTTTGGCACTCTGCAGACACCCCAAATGCACAGCTGGCGACAACGCAGCGCATGAGTCATAGCTGGCTAAAGATTTGGAGCGCCTCCGGCACAAGCTCCCTTGTGGCCTGAAGTGTGTAAGCCAATTTTATTACGCTTACATAATGTGACGGAGTTGTTAGCCACGATGGTGGGATTTGTTAATTTTACGATATTTTTGTATACATTTCTTAAATCATTATTGCCATGACATTTCATTTTTGGCAAAGAGCACTTATCAAAGCAATTGGATTTGCTATATCTTAGACGATTGTAAGCATAATTTGCTCTTATTGTTGCACATGAGCCAAACAACATAAACCGACCATAGCCGACCCTGAGCTATTTAAGTATTGGGTGAGCGAAGGTTTCTTTTCAAATGCCTCACGATCAATTTTTTCTTTTCGCACTCATTTGGCTTTCGCTGAGGGTAAATATAATTAAATACCTTTGACCAACAATCCGAAATCAAGCCATAGCTATAATGAAGTCTTCTATATGCCAATTATGGCGATGGCAACAGCTAATGAGGAATTGCAAACCAACCTGGCTACGGTCTAAACTACTTATAGCTCATGTATTATGCATTGTATTAGCAGCTGTCCGAAACTCATGTTATAAGTACAACGAAAATATATTTTAAGATATGCGGCCAAAATATTCATTTGGAAAAAGTCGACAAAAATGACACAAATTTTTTTCAATATTTTGTATTATTTATTCATTTTATTGATCGCAGCACGAGTAAACATTATTGTAAAAACTGTACTGGATATAAAAACAACTCGATGTGCATTGACGTTCTAGTGGTATTAGCAGTTCAGATATCATAACGACAAAGCCAGCGGAGAATGTTTAGTAAGGACTGTAGGCATATTTACTAGGGAAAGCGTGATGAGTATAGCCCGAAGAGACTGGAGCGGCGATGACATGATGATAGCCAGCATTGGGATGGCGATGACCGATGCCAATTGGAGCTCCGATCTGTTGCCCGATGGAGGCTCCGTGAACAGGAAGATGTTGTAGTTGCTGGTAAGCGCCACCATGCTGATAACCGGAAGAGATTGAGCCGGATGAGATTGGGCCAATTGAATCGATGCCAACTGATGATATTGGTCTGCCAGCAAGTCCATTGTAGCTGTTATGGCCACCATACACAGATCCATAAACAGCTGGAAGACCAGGTCTGTAAACCGCTGAGCCAGCTCCAACTTGCGACAAGTAAGCCGTTGTTGGAGGATAAGCTAAAACTCCATATGCCAGACAGCTCAGCAGGACAATATAAGTGACAGCCATATTTGCAATTTGTATTTAAATTGAATAAGCTTCTTATGAGAACGTTACAGATTCTTAATTATTGCTGGACAACTGATGCTCCCTTTGAGTTACTTCGACGCTTTTATAGCTCCGACTTAAAAAATTAATCCAGTCAGTAAATACTTTTTTTTTATTATTTTGCATATTGACCCACATCTTATGACCTAATTAGTATATCTAAATGGAAATCTGCCAAGCTTTTCTAAGCGATAATTTATGGCATATATTAAACACATCACTTTGCAATATGAGTTAAGTACTTGTTAATTATCCTACTAACTAATTACTCTTACTTTTTTTTAGTTGATGCTATTGTTCTCGCACGTTAGGTTTGAACTTTGAAGCCGGGTTGAACAATCAAAAATCTACATACTACATACACATACATGTATGTAATGGCAAAAGAAGACATTTCGGATGTTATTTTATGCCCAAGACTTTGGCCTTCTTCCACGAGGGAGTTCACGGCGCAGAAGGCGCAGGAGGTCACCTAAGGCCGTAATTCTTTTTTCTTTCTTGTTCTTAATACTGTTTATTATACAAACCTGGCGACCACAAACTTGATTCTAAGAGCATTATAGAACACACTTGAGTTCTGATTGGCACTTATTAAAATTAAAACCCAAAAAATAATAAAAAACCAGTTAATATATAAGTTATTTAGTATTTAAGTTTTTAATTAAACTGGTCTATACTTATGGGTAATAATGAAGCTGGTTTGTTTAATATAACTTATATTTATAGTACTTATTTTTGAATAAGTAAATATTAAGTTAAATGAAAATCCCGAAAATATATTATTATTGACTAATAGCATCAGAAATCGAAGTAATCGTAATGTGCTGCATCTGCTCTTCCAAATCAGTTCCTTTCAATAGCTTTACTTAAAATGGCCCAATCAATTTTAGTTTGTAGCTTGAGGAGTTCTCTTCTCTTCTTTTTTTGCACATGACCGAATGTGTTGTCGAATTTGACCACGGAATGTTTGAGACAGTAGAAGAGAAGTAAACCCCATTTTTAATATCTATTATATCGGATTGTTAAAACTGACATTCTGATCAGATTCGTATCAGTTATATGGATTTCAGATTCAGCTTCAATTGACCAAGACATGTTTCTTGTAAATTTTAGCTTTTACTTACTGTTATAACTAAAAGTATAAATTTTATGGAATTTTTGCAAGCTACATACTAAATAATGATGAGTAAAAAAATAAGCCAGTTTTCCTTTTTTTAAATCGTTTATATAACATTTGTTGGAGAATATTTTTATTTTTTTTCTTTATGCAAATAAATAGTTAGAATCTTTAATTTTATGTACAAAATGGGTCAAGTGGAGTCGGCAAATCGGATTTGATAGGTTCAATAATCAATTAGTAGGGAGCCTTGGAGCCAACGGTGTGGGAACCATAGACAGATGAGATTGGGCGAGCTGCACCCACTCCGACCGATGGGATTGTTCCTGCCGTAACTCTAGCATGATATGGTCGCTGCGGAACAGGTGCCGCAGGGACAGCGATTCCAGCAACTGTAGGACGGTAGACAGCTGGGCGTACACCTCTCACACTAGTTGGGGCTCCGATGACAGTTGGTCGCTGTACAGTTGGGGCGGAGAAAACAGTTCCAGAGACAGCAGGACGATAAGCGGTTGGGCGCTTACCTACCACGCTGTATGGAACTCCAGTAACAGCAGGTTGCTGTACAGTTGATGCAGAGACAACTGAAACAGCAGGACCTACGACAGATGGACGTCTGGCTACTCCTTTAACTGGTGACGAATAAGATGGGGATGGTCCAGAAACAGCGGGTCCAGAAACCGGAAGTCCTAGGGTGGCTGGTCGTGCTAAAATTGGGGCAGAAACAGGAGCACCTTGAACTGCTGGGCGTCCGCCAGGCGTATTTCCAACTGGTGGCAAGTAGGAAGATGACGGAGCATACGCCACAATGCCGTATACGAGACAACTCAAAATAATTGCGATAGTAGCAGCCATTTTTGTTTTTATTTAGTCAAAGATATTCGTGTATATGGCTCAATGGTTGCTTGTTTGGAAATGATGCTCTTTCTGGTGAAGCTCGACTTTTTTATAGATCCAATTTCAGAAAATTCATTCACCAATCGCATTCGTTTGTAAATTAGCATGTGCACATTAAGCTGTTTGCAATAATGCAAAGATAAAAGCGTAATAAATCAAAAAGCAATCGGCAATTCATTCACTTAACTGCAGTATTTTTGATGAAAACACAAACAAACTCGGTGCTTGTCCTCTAAGCCCAAGGGATCCATATTCAACATTTTTTAGGATTCTTAAAATATAGATTTTTCACTTGCGGTAGCAGAAGCTTAAGTATTTGTGTCGTTATCTTTTATAAGTATAATTAAATTCTAACGCCCATATCGATTTAAAAAGACGCCATTAGTACTAATTTTATTACTTAAAAATCTAAGTTGTGAAAGCCATAAAATATTACAATTTTGTCGACTAATTTTTTGTTGTAGAGTTGGGTTACGTAGCGTCAAAGACAGATTTTAGTCTTTAATATATTTGTATAAATGTATGTTTTCCTTTTGACATACATTTGCGCAAAAGCAATAAAGAAAGCATGTCCGACTACATAAGATAGATATGGGATTGATCAGACCAAAGAGTTGAGTCAATCTGCCGTGTCCTTCCGCCCGTTTGTATGACACTACAAAAGTTAATGATTCGAAATTCGCAATATATATTCTTATATCGAACGAGCTACTCATATTTTGTGCGATGTGTCCACCCAGTTTTATAATATCCATAAATATTGATATTGCGAAAGGTTTTTTTAAGCATAACTCGAAGAATTAAAGAGCTCTACACACAACACGTGGTATGTAAACTTTCCTATATACCGATTAAGATTCTTTTACTTTTTTGATACCGCTCCACATGCTAATTATAAGGATCAGACGGTAAACACCGAAACTATACATTCAAGGCTGCTTTAACCTCAGTGTCGCTGGGGAAAAATAATCACAGTATCTACATAAAGTGGGTAATTAGAGGTGTGTGTAGTTTTGGGTATATAATATATATGTATATATACAGGCTGGTTCGAATACTCTTCGGTTCCAACTAAAGCACTCTAAAAATTTTTTTAATTATTTGTTCGCATTATTTATTTGTTTTAAATTGCATTGGTACATATATGCATATAGTTTAAAAATCAGTTCAAAAAGTTCGGGCCTTAAAATGTCAATCACGAAGTCATCTTTCTCTGATGCTTAGTTAGTAGGGAGCCTTGGAGCCGACAGTGCGCGATCCGTAGCCACTTCGAGGACGTCCAGAGAAGATTGGGCCGCTTGAAACAGCTCCGGCTGCTGGGATCGGTCTTGGGGCAGCTCCAGCGAAGGGTGGTCGTTGTGGAACTGGTGCTGAGATAGCTGATACTGGGACAACAGCGCCATGGACAGCTGGGCGAACTCCTCCCACAATTGACGGTGCTCCAATGACAGCTGGTCGCTGTACAGATGGCGCAGCGACAAAAGGTCCATAGGCTGCAGGCCGATAAGAAGATGGCCGTTTACCACCCACGCTAGATGGAACTCCAGCAACAACAGGTACAGTTGGTGCGGTGACAACAGGTACAGAAACAGCAGGACCTGGTAACAAATAAGATGTAGATGGTCCAGGCACGACTGGTCGGGTTACAATCGGCCCAGAAACGTGAGCACCTTGTACAGCTGGACGTCCACCAACTGACGGCGAGTAGGAAGACGACGGAGAAGTGGCTACAAAGCCGTATGCTAGACAACTCAAAATGATAACAAGAGTAGAAGTCATTTTGTTTTTATTCAATCGAAGCTATTTGTGTATATGGCTTAATTGTTGCTTGTTGATAACTGATGCTTTCCTTAGGACATCTTAGCCCTTTTATAGTTCCACTCCACAAAACTGATAAAGCTGCATTTTAATTAGCACGTGCGCATAAAACAGTTAACTATATGACAAAATTAAGTACTTGATAAATCTAACAACCACTTTTGGAAAAGTTTTGCTCACTCTTGATTTGCTCCAGTTTTTGGTGAGAATTAACACAATGTCGGTGATTGCTCTTTAAACCCAGGAGCTCGAGTTTGAACTTTACAGCACGCGTCAAGTGTAACGAGATTTTAGATAGTTACTCAAAAACAACGCGCGTCATTTTTAAGTGGGTAAATGCAGGTCATTGGCTTTCAGAGCCAGGCTGATTTAATCGCATTAGGTATAGAATTTCGATTTTACGGCGGGAAATCTTTATTATATTTATACAATGACATTAAAACCCATATTTAGATGTTGTGTGTCCTATTATGTTAGATTTTAGTCAATGAAAGTGCAGCTCTAGATTGTTTAATTCATCGATGAAGGAGACTCAACACATTCGCCCAGTGCATAGAACGAGTAGGCTGTCAAGAAAATAATATAGACAATTCGTAACGTTTTAAATTATATAAAATATTCACAATAACTCACCCCTTTCCTTAGTACACATATAGTTCCGCATCTCGCACTCATTGCTAAAGGTTAGATATTCTTCCTGGAAGAACTGTGCACAGACTGGTTCAAAGTTTCTCTTGCACGCCTTCACGCAGTTCTGCTTGCAGGTCTCCTTCTCCGCTTCGATCAGCTCCGACTTGCCTTGGTTGAGGCGCGCACATTGTTCCACCTTTAGCAGACATCTATTGTGAAAGACGTGGCAACGCTCCTCATCGGTTGCCCAGACATACTCCTTTTCATCCGAGCACTTGTACTTCACGTTACAGTCGAACAGGCTATGTCGCGCCAGAGCTTGACCCAATATGGTCAGAAGAAGAGCTAATGCGCTTGCTAGCACGAGTGTGTTTCTGCTGGGGTTCGGCATCTCACTCATCTGCAGGTAGTTTCCTAACTTAACTATTCAAGCAGAAGTCAGCTCGTTTTTATATGATTTTGCACGAAGTGACGTCAAAGCTATACCACTTCGTGTGATTTTCGCTAGACCTGAGGTAATTAAGCTATTTGTTTGTTTATATAGTGGGTATCGTTTTTATTAGTTGCCCCAGTCAACAATTCAATTATTTTTAATCATAAAAATATAAATTTCAATTGTTAATTAAGAGCTATTATTTCGATTAAAAATGTATTTAAACTATAATTAAACTCTATCTCAGTTGAACTCTGGCTTTGCACGCTTAAACTAAGTGTGAATTATTTATAAAAATGTGTATTCCACTAGCTCAAAATCTTCTTTGGGTTAAAATTAAAGCATTATTTTAATATCTCAAAATAAGACTCAAAGTAAGAAGACAAAAAAAAGAGAGGTCCAGTGCCGCATAATATGCTGGGCAATCGGAAATGATTTGGCTCAGGGCCAGACAAATACCAAAACGCACCTATTTAGTTTCACAGACCAATGCCTACTTCGCAAATAAAACGAATTTAAGACTACGATTTTTTGTGCTAAGTTTATTTTGAAGAGCTCGTAAATTATGCATAAGTTCAGCACAACGTAAGTGGGTCCCACGATAACTACTGTGGGTATTTTGCTATTCAGATAGAAGTTACCTCATCAGAAGTACACAAATTATTATCTCTATATATAAAACTGTTTGTCCTGACTGACTGACTGACTGACTGACTGACTGACTGACTGACTGACTGACTGACTGACTGACTGACTGACTGACTGACTGACTGACTGACTGATTGGTGATCAACGCACAGCCCAAACCGTAAGAGCTAGGAAGCTGAAATTTTCACTGTAGCTACCTTATGTGATGTAGGTGCACGTTAAGACGGGGTTTCGGGAAATTACACTCGCAAGTGTGGAAAAATCGCGAAAAACGTTTGTATGTAACTTTTTTGTTTACAATCCGATCGGCCTCAAACTTATTTTCAAAGATCTTTCTAAAAATTCATTTGAGGAGTGTTTCGCACTTTTCGGAAAACCCATTCCTCCTTGGTGGAAATGGAGGTCAAAGATTTGGTGGGTGACGTTTCGCGCTCAAATTCATTTCCAGTGATCTATATGAAAAATCATTTGAGACGTGTTTCTCACTTTTCGCAGAATTCAAACTTCTTCGGGGGGAATGCGATTTAAAGATTTTTTGGGCGGCGTTTTAAGTTGTGTCCGATTTGCTTCAAACTTATTTTTAAAGCTCTTCAAAAGAACTTAATAAGTACGTATTTCAGCGATTTGGAAAATTCCACCCGCAACAGTGGTAAATTGGCGGAAAAAGGTTGTATGAAAGTTTTTTGTTTATCATCCGATCGGCCCCAAAATTCATATTTAAAGATCTATGCTTAAATTCATTTAAGGGGTGTGTCACACTTTTTGAAAAATCTATTCCTCCTTGGTGGAAATGGAGGTCAAAGATTTGGTGGATGACGTTTTGTGTTCAAATTTATTTCCAGAGATCTATTAGAAAAATCATTTGAGACGTGTTTCACACTTTTCGCAGAATTCGAACTTCTTCGTGGGGAATGCGATTTAAAGAATTTTTGTGCGAAGTTTTAAGTTGTGTCCGATTTGCTTCAAACTTATTTTCAAAGCTCTCAATAAGAACTTAATGAATACGTATTTCGACGCTTTGGAAAATTCCACCCGCAACAGTGGTAAATTGGCGGAAAACGGTTGTATGAAAGTTTTTTGTTTACCATCCGATCGGCCCCAAACTAATTTTCAAAGATCTATATTCAAATTCATTTGAGGGGTGTTTCACACTTTTTGAAAAATCCATCCCTCCTTGGTGCAAATGGGGGTCGAAGATTTGGTGGATGACGTTTTGTGTTCAAATTTATTTCCAAAGATCTATAAGAAAAATCATTAGAGACGTGTTTCACATTTCTCGCAAAATCTAAACTCCTTCGGTGGAAAATGCATTTCAAAGTTTTTTTTGGTGAATTTTAAGTTTGTTTGATTCCCGTCCGATCAGTTTCAAAATCATTTTCAAAGCTTTTAGAAAACTTTGATTTTATAACATACGTGCCACGGGCAAGGCCGGGTTATACCCGCTAGTATATTATAAATGTATGTATAGGGCCCGGCAAACGTAGGAACGTGCCTCTTCCAGTTTCTAAACAGGTTTCATGTTGTGGTCAAGAACGTATTGCAAGCATGCAGAGCAGCCAAAATAGAATTGTTTTACAGTATGTGTGATTATTAAATATTGTCAAAAGTTCTTAATCATCGGAACAATTATTATTTTTGTAAATTAATAAATATTTGTGGTTGCCTTAAACTGCTTGATAAACTTGTGAACGAATATCGGTGAATAACTCCTGACACTTTTTTTGGACCAATGATCGAAGCTGGTAAATAATATGTTATTATTTTATTTTATTATTTATTGCAGTTGTCAGAAAATCAAACGCATCACAGCTAATCCGATTAGAACACGCCATATTTATGCCCACTTAACAATTGAAAGAATGCATTTCGTTTTAATTGCTTAATTGCTCTCATCATCGCATTAGTTATGACGTGGAAACGTGCCTCTTTCAGTTATTGAACAGTCTTAATAGCATTTTCACAAGATTAACTGAGTATGGGAACTTTACAAGAACCTATATAATTGTAGTTTCATGAAAAAAAACAAAAAGATAGCTCTTCAAGACATCAATTTCATGATTTTTGCCAAACATCAAGTATCCGGGATTAAATCCCAGGTAAGGATATAGTATTGGCAACAGACTATAGCCTACATTGAAAATAAGGTTTCTAGTTTCTTAGTATATCCTACATTACTAACAATAATAATAATCATTATAATAATAAAAATATGATAATACATAATATAAATAAAATTGAATAAGTGTTACAATTAGTATTAATGTCAATAATAATAATAATAATAATAGTAATAAGTGATTTTCATATTTACTGTGAATACAAATAATACATTTAGAAAAATAATGATAATATTAATGTAAATATTAATAATAACAAAAATAAAAATGTAAATAATAATGGTAATGATTATGATAATCGATAATAATAGCCGACACCCAAATGAATTTCATATTTACTATACATACAAATTTCCCTTTCGTAAGCTTTTGAAATGTGCAATTGACGTCACATAATAATTAATCAATTAAGAACAGATAAGAGACTCACGTTTGATTAAGTTTAATTCTAGTCATTGGCTAATGCATGTATTAGGTCAAAATATTCATATATTTTTGTTTATTTATTTTAGTATTTTTTACAAGCTGTTAATTCAAACGTTTAGAAGTCGGATTTCTTTGCTCAGTCCAAGAATGCTGAAAAAAGTGAATTTTTAGCAAATGTTTTGCATATAAAAGATGATTATACTTACTTTCACCAGTTTTGCAGCTATGTACAATCTTTTCGCATGCATTACCAAAATGTCTTATTTGGCCCTTGTAGGTGCCTGAGACTGGTTGATGTATTTGTATGCAAACATCGGGGCATAACTTTTGGCACTCCTCCTTGGTAGCAATAGTCAGGGCTGCAAGTGAACAGGACCAAATCATATTAAATTTATTTATTTTTTAAATTGAATTAGGTTTTTACTCACCTGGCTTGCGATGGCAGTTCTCCTTGTCAAAGAAACACTTATTGCGGAAAACATTACAACCGCCCCCGAGAGCCCACACAACATCCTCAGTATCGGGACAATCAGCCGAACAATTAGCATTGACGTGGCTTAAGGCCAGGCCAATCAACATAGGAATGACCCAAATCAGTTTCATTTCAATTATTAGATCAGCAGCAAATCGTCGACTGTTGCCGAGGTGCTCGATATGATGAGCTTATATAGAATATTCTCAAAACGTGCCTGGGAGCAGCTTTAGCTACTGTTTGCATATAAATATATTTGTTTATGTGTTTGCTAATAGGTTTAGGCAATGGGTGGGTCGAGCTGAAGCGCCTTATCAGCTGATTAAATAAACAGGTTTCGTTATCTCAAAAAAAGCAACACAACGGGGATTATAGAGCGAATGCTCAAGCTCACCAGGTTTGACTCATTTACTTATTAATTATAGAGCAAATATTAACACAATGATGTAAACTTCAAACCATTATTATGTCATATATAGATTCTATAATATTACATTTACAATTTCGCCCGTGTACAGGTAAATCCCCAGCTAAAATTAATTATTGTTTGCTATTAATTTACTATTATGAATCATTAAAAAAATGTTTCTATTATATCTAACAAAGCACTAATTAAATGTTTGCTATTGAATTATTAATATTATTAGTACAATAATTCTTCTATTATAATACGTTGTGATAATGCGTTATGCGAGAACTCACTCGCACTAGTCCTCATCTTTGACTGCTTCGGCAAATCCAATGCGTTCGGCTTCCACATCATAAACACTATAGACGCGCGTCAGGAATATGTCTCCCAGCACCCAAAAGTCGGACTCAATTGGCACAAATCCACTCGCACAGATCGTCTCGTTTGCAGTTTCCAGACTAACCACATAATCTGCAGCAGTAAGTGCATACTTCCTGTCTCCAATATGGAACTGAACATCTTGCAGATAATCGCAGTGGCAGCTAACGATATAGGTTTTGTTCTTAATCGTAGCCCCAATCGCCTGTTGTAACTCCTCGAAGATGCGGAGCGGCATTAGCACCAGTGAGGTGCCCGTGTCCAGAATTGCGTTGACTCTGCCATCAATTTTCTTGTTGCCCACAGACACGCTGGACATCTCAAACTGCCAGTAACCGACCTTGGACAGTGGCACATAGTCCAGTGCGCCGTTGTAGCGGGAGTGATCGATGCCGCCAAATGTGATCTCGCCGCCGTACAGCTCGCCGGCCATGCGTCGTAGATAGACGGAGAACAGGCATTGCTTGGCCAAATTCTGCTGGCAGAACAGCTCCAGGAATGGAGTCGAGTTATTCCAGGCTATCTGTCTGAAGCCCAGGCCAACAATGCCATCAAAGGTCGTTGGGGCGAAGGTAGCCTGATGATGCGACAATGTCTCTCCAAAGATCAGGTCGGGCACAACTACATCAGCTATTCGTAACGTGTCCTGCGACAGGTAGCCGCTCACGTGGCCGTTACCATAGGCCAGCGAGAAGTTGCGACCATTTTTCACATAGCTCTTCGACTTGTGTGCCTTGTACCGACTGTGCTGCTGACAGGCGGTATTGCTAGCTGGGCAATTGCTGGAGGGCAGCCACGTGTTGGCCGAACCGGTATCAAAAACCACCCTGAACAACTGTGGCGGAGTACCCATGCCAATGCGCCCATAATACTCCACATTCTCCCTATTGTCCAGCATCAGCTGCAGCGTCTGGGTAGCAAGAAAACCATGGGACGACTGACTTGCCGGCTTTCTCTGGACCTCCAATGGGATTCGGAGCATACGCGCCTTGGCGAATGTATATAGGAATATCAAGAGTTCGCAAAGAACTAATAACCACGTTTGCGGCATCTCGGTTGGGGCTTAACAGAGAACTGAGCTTATTGGGATTATTGTTAGTTGTAACAACAGCTGCTGGTTGTAATTAGCCAGTAAACCCCAACAAAATGTGTACTCAAACTTTCCAATACATATTTATTTTTATTTTTGTTGGCTAATAAAAACTGCATAAAATAAAGTGATTGACTTTGATTTACATAAGATCTCCCTAGAGAATTTTAAATTTTTAGCAAGATTATATCAAGCATTGTTGTATTATAGCATACAAATTGTGATACAGATATATATGTGGATATAATTCTGCATATTACTACAATTATAATCATATTGAAAAATATAGCTGAAACCCGGGCTTCAAACAAACCGTTACGATCCCAGAACTACAATTGTTTTTATTCCTTACGCCGAACCGAATGCGTCCTTAAAATATTGAACCAATAAATTTATTCTTTTCATTTAGAAGTTTGTTGCGACAATTCTAAGCAATTCTAAGTATGTCAAATAAAAACTTTGATAAATAAATTAAAAATAACATCAAAAATTAATTTTTCAATTTAGAAATAGAAAAAGTGTAAGCAAGCTTGCTTCATTCAGTTTTTGGTTTTAAGCCATATCTCAAAATATAATTCTATAATTCATAAAAAGAATAATTTATTTTTTATATAATGCAACATTTTATTCATAGATTGTGAGTTGTGCTTAGCTTAAAAGGCTCCTACAACGTCCTGAAAGCCCGTTGCAATTCGGAGTTTCACGCCAATCTGCAAAGCAAAATACGCATTTATAAATAAGTTATAAAACATCAAGCAATAATAACAAATTCGGTTGCAATAGTTTGTTCAATCTCTGTTTACATTGTAACATCAGCCACAAGCTATGTGCTCAGTGGCTCTAAAACTGCTAGACCAAGGCAGTCACTTTCAAACTTTGACTGCACAAATATCACTCCTTGCGAATTTAAGGGGCGCGGATTTTCAAGGAAAGTTATCAGCAAGAACTTGTAGTCTCTAAAATTGTAGCAGGATATACATTTTTTTACGATTTAATTGTTCTCGTTGTGTCAGGTACAACACTTTATATGACACGGTATATGTATATGTTCAATGTCAGGAGTATATACGGATATATGGTCAGACAGACCGATAGAGTGACCGTCAGCATGGGAGACGTTGCAGGAAACGAATATAGTGTGTTTATCATATGATCATTAAGCCAATCAACTTACTTATTCCCTTGGTGCAGCTATTGCCAGCCATCGCACAGCTGTTGGAGAACTGGCAACGCACTAATTGACCACCAACTTGAGCTTCTCCGCAGACAGGCTTATAAATCGCTGGGCATATGGTGGGACAGCGGTCAGCGGCCATTATAATGCCACAGCAGAGCAGCAAATTGATTAGTGCAAAGCAAAACTTCATTCTGATGGAAAGTTTTTAGAGACTAGCTGATTTCGGCGACAAAGCCAGGCTTATATAGCGGCTGTTAGATGGAGGAAACTGGTTTTCTCTCGGAGAAGTTCTTAACAAAATAAACAAAAACAATTGACTTAAACACAGATGTGAGAAAAATATTTTAAAAGGTGAATCCCAATTTGCGTATGGCTAAAACGCAGCAATCAGATAAACATATAGACAATGATTTCTTTGAACAGTAATTTCCAGGTACTTATTACACCCAGTTAACCAGATAATTATTACAACGTGACCTTTAAACCACCGTCTTCTCAATGACTCTCGTTATATTCCGATCATAAATCATGGGCTGTCTTAAATGATCTCGACCAAGGCGTGCTACCAGCTCACATGCAGCCAGTAATAACCATTTGAATTTCAATTTATAAAATTCATTTCACGGCACGAATCGATTCGTTACAAAGCACTTAATTGAAATCTTAAGATCTGGCAATAGGTCGACTAACGTTCAAACGAAAACATTGGCTATGTTCAGTGTGGATCGCTTACCTGCTATGTGGGTGTGGATCGCTTATCTGCTCGTCAAGCTGTCCAGCAGCCAATATGTTAAAGAGCATGTGTCTTTGCAAGAATCAGGCATTCGAGTTCATTATCATCCCGATACTGTCAATAGGCCGCACTTGAAGCCGTCAACAGGGTCAGGAAAAGCAAATCTTCCAGCGGCATTAACAGGAACTGGGAAACTGTTAATATTAAATAAAAAAAATTCCACAAACGCAAACAGTACTGCCGAAGCAGGGAAACTCCCTTTGGCAAAACCGAAAAAGCTAAAGAAAAAGCACAAGAGGGTTATTCTAATGGTGGATAAGACAACAGGACATCTTGTAAAAGTCGCCGTTGTGCATAGGCAGAAGCACAAGCAAAAATAAATACATTTCAAAGAGTCTTGAGGCTTACAAATAAAGTGTTCAATAATCTGGCTAACCCTTATATTAAACACCTACCAATCACTTGCCGAACATTTGGATTCATTGCGTTCCCCACGATCTAGTGGACTGGTGGGCAGTATCAAGAAGGCGTTGGGTGGGCGTTTGCTTTAATGTGCGCACATGTCACCCAGCTGATGGAGAGGAGAATGATTACCGCAGTCAGGTGCTTCAAATGTTGGTCGATATCGGAGCATCAAACTCAATTAAAGCCGAAAAAGAAACATTTTACTTTCTAAATAAGCGAAATACCTTCAAGAGGTAGCATAACAACAACAGCAACAACTCCACCGGGATGACTTTCAAAAATCGCCCAGCGCTCAAAGACGGCCAGTTAAAGAAGATATTTTTGTTTATTTTCGTTTTGCTGCAATAAGTGGCCAATTGAACCGAAGCCGGCGCATAACTGGCTCCACCAGTAAACTGATCTGTTGCCTCACTCGCAACCAGGTACCTGGTGTTTTGACAATTAAAACAACACGTGGTAAATTAAAGTTTCATGGCAAATTATTTATAATTGAATTCATAAATCCCTTTGAAACTCTTATTAAACTTTTCGCAGCTTTGTTTAATAAAACACAAATCTGACACTTTATAGCCCTAAAAAAAAAATTTTTTTGTTTTACGATATAAAAAATATTATTTGCTCAAATCTGAAAACGAATATTAGGTATACCTAGTTTAGCTTTGTTAATAATATTAAATGTATTCAAAAAAAATACATTTAATGCAAACATATAAAAAATCACTATAAACAGAAAAGTGCACATTGAAATATTAATATTAATAATAATAATAATAATAATAATAATAATATTATTATTAATAATAATAATAATAATAATAATAATAATAATAATAATAATAATAATAATAAATAATTAATAATAATAAATTTGCGTACTATTAGTGTACTATTAGTAAGTAGAATTGTTTTGAGTTTTATTTTATTATTATTTCTGTTTATTTACTCAGTTAATAAGCTTTTTTAGATGTAAGTGTAGGTACGCATTTGCACAACTGAAAAAAAGCACACATAAAATATTAAAATAAAATAAGCACATATTGTCGCTTTTGTTATTAATTAAACAAAGCAATTGATAGTAACTGCCATCAAATCGGTATAAATGCGCGACTCGGATGATGCCAGCCCTTAGTTTCCCACCTGCAGCATGTATAAGCTGTCGCTGACAACCGGCGCAAAGTCAAATTTGCCCCAGAAAATGCGAGCTGGCATATCGCTGCTCACCCTACTATAAGGATTTGGTCTGGAGTATTGTGGACGGCACTTGCCGTGTCTTTCAAAATGGATGCTTATTCGGCTCGGAAAACTGTAATCGCGTGAACAGTTGCAAGACAAGTTGGTAGAATATGAACTTTTACTTAGATATAACTGTTTGACATTCTATATCTACATCTAGGAATGGAACAGACAACACGTGAGAAGTGCATGAAGTATTGCAGTGATATCTGCCCGTTGGGCGGCAGTGGACTTTGTGCCTCATTCGCGTATACTAATGCAGATGGCACCACTGGTTGGAAGACCAGATCTTTCCTCAACCGTTGTCTATTGAATCGATTTGCCTGCCAGGAGGGAATGGGTGAGCACATATAGTACAAATGTACTATACAAGCTATTTACGACATGACTTTATCTTTGCAGCATATATCGGAGAGCCAACTGAGGGTGAATGCCAGATATAAATAAGCTGGTTTAAATTGGAGCACCGGAACTCTTAAAATGTCATATTAAATACAAAAATGTAGCTCACATATGTTGAATTGCATCCAGACTAAACGCAGTTGACCCTCACAACTGTTGCCAGTTATGAGTATTTTTATAAATTGTAATAATATTGACACAATTTTTGAAAACAAATAAACACAGCTAAATAAAAATAAAAAAATTAATTTGTAGAAGACTCTTCGAATTGTTATTGAATTTTAGCTTTATTACAAAAATTGCAGACTAGAAGCAAGCCAGACGATACTCACGATGAAAACTGGACTAGGTTTTAACAATAAACTGTTTGTAATTCTATTGCTAGCTCCAATTGGTATTATCTATGGACAACTGTTCACTTTGCAAGGTGCGTCAAGTGCTTCGAAAATATAATTCAAATAAATGTTTTAAATTCCGCGTGATTCAACAGTGCCTAATAAGTGTCAAGATGTTTGCCCCACCAGATATCGTGTGGTTTGTGCCCTGCATGACGGGTGCCTGCGAACATTTGCCAGCAGCTGTGTGATGCGTATATATAACTGCAAGTACCAGAAGGGTAAGTGGATCATGCAGTGACTATTTAACTTCCAAAACTGTATAGCTTTTCTCTTCTAGATTATCGCATCATATCCCAAAGAGCCTGTGAGTTTATAAGCAACGAAGAGCTCCAGAAGTTGGAGCTCTAGCGGTGGTAGGGCAGCAACAGCAATAAAAACACGCTAGATGGCGCGACAGCGCAGGGCGCATGCGCCGCATCAAATTTTGTTTGGTGTTTGTGGGGCACACAAGTCGCCAGGATATACATATGGATATATGCTGTCACTGCCGTTGCTGCTGTTTTTATGTGTAACTCTCTCTCTCTGGCTAAACTGTTGTACGCCACAACTAAATAAGCGATAATTCAATTTTAAACGCAATTTTTGCTCTGTTTTAAAATACATATTTCAATTGTGCGCTACCCCTTTTTTCGTGCTCTAAATTTATACAAATACGTGAATCGCTCTTATTAAATAAAATATCCTCCAATCCTAACATGAGCATTGTAGTGTAAGAGCAAACACAAAAAAAAAGTGTACATTATACAAATCGCAGACAACGACAAGAAAAACTGGGTTCGGGCAGGTAGCAAAGGAACCTGCAACACAGAATAGCACATAAAAACGCACACGGTGAAGGCTCCAAAGATATTCCAGCTAGTCGCGTGGCGATCTAATAACAGGTTAGTTCTCCCTAATTGCTAATTGATTTGACATTCAACCTGCTTCCGGCATTCAATTGCAAGTACGGAATCCAGCAAATTGCGTATCATTTATGTATAACAATCTAATGTCCGTCTTTTGTTGGTGTGTACGCGTAGGTGCGTGTGAGAGTGTGTGTGTGTTTGTGTAGGTGTGCGCCTGTGTGTGTCTGCGTGTGTGTGTGTGTATGGATAGCTGCGGGCCACATCATTTTGAAGCACACATTTCAGCCCCGTAGCTGCATTATGAACTATATATATATATATATATATATATTTATATATATGTGTCTGCACACGATTATATAGTTACATACATTATAAGCTTGTATTGATGGAGTTTATAGGAAAATTCTCGAGAATTTATATATGTACGTATGCACGAGTGTGTACCAATACACATATGACTGCATGCGAATATGTGCAAACATACAACGTATGGGCATGCGTGTGTGTGTCTAATGCGTATGTAAATGTGGCAGTGCGACCCTGCCACTGAATAACAATAGCCACACTTCAATGACCTAGACCTCGACCACGAAAGATTAAATGCCGCCAATTGGGAGAGTGCAGTGTGGTTTTCCTCCCACAAAGTGTGTGTCGTTATTGAAACTGCGCATTTCACATTATTTTCACATTGAAGCGACAAAATGCAATCAATCGTATCGTGTATTTTATTAATAAGAATATCAGTGTGGTGTACTACAGTGCGAAAATCAAAGTTATATTAGTTATTTCCATGTTTAAAATTGGGTTTATTATATGAAAAATAGCAGCATACTATCTATATAAAAGAATACAATTAAATGTGCTACGCATCGATAACTATTGAATTAGTTTCGTGAATTCGCTTTAAATTTGGCACTTTGGCCCTGGCGTAGCGCCATCTATGGTTCGTGATACATTAGACGCATATTGATAAGCGTTTTAATTTTTATTGCTGTTAACATTAAGTCTTATCGAAGCGATTTTTGGTCGTTGCCTCAGTTTTGAATTGTGCAAAAAAATAATCGATAGTGTTAAGCAAACAGCTGTTCTGTTATAACTATGTTAAAGCACTTTTTGTCATTTATTACTGGTAGTAGCTGTTTTATTCAGTCCTGAGCCTTATTCGTAATTTTTCATTAAAGATAACTGCCTTTTGTGTAAATTCTCTAAACTACAATAATTAAATTTTTTAAGTGAAGAACTGAACTACATGTAACGGAAATTTAGACAGAAGCAACTGTCTGTGCGCTGTTAATAACATTTTAGCGAATGTACAAGCCTTAGGGTGGCCATAGGTGTACAAAACATTCATTGCTCACTCGCGTTGTTCTTTGGTCGCTGCCGCAATTAAGATTTGTGCTTGTTGTGAACAAAAAATACAAAAAATAAAAAAACAAGTAAAAGAAAAACAAAACAAATTAAAAATATAATTAATGGCTTCTTACTAGAAACTGTAAGTGGTAATATTTCGGGTGGCCTGTGTGACTGTGCGTGTGTGATTTGTATAGGGACTACTTGTCGGAGTTGAGCAATTTATGTTATTTTGATTATACTGTGACTTCTCGAACCCTATAGAAATGCTAGTTAAATTTTTTGGAAAAAAAAGATATCTCTGATAACACTGAAGGTAGATATGCTATCGCAAGATAAGAACTAAACGCTAACTTGTTGCCATGGACTTGCTATCAGGTCTTTTATGTCTTTAGCGCATGTGAAGATATTTGCTTATTCGCAGAACTGTTGCGGCACAAGTCACACATAACGCATCTCTGCTGTGCAGTTGCTTCGTTTCGTTTCCGCCACCCACAACAACAGCGCAGCGCAGCGTAGCGAAATTTATGCGACGATATAACAACAACAATAAGCAGATGATGCTGCTGAATATAAAGAAGGAATGGCGCACAATGCCCCATAATTATCAAAGAAGATTGAAGAAGCAATGGCAATTTGTTATGAATCAGAAACAGAATCAGACTCAGAAACTTAGCCAGCCTTTTGTTATGGCACTTATACCTTTGTTGCTCGTTATCACATAATTTGCGAAAAATTCCAGAGCATTTGCCATTTACTATATCCCGGCAACATATACCGACCTGCTCACATGCATGCATGCATACATATGTATATGTATAAGTACAGGGTTATGATTTACTGGAAATTTGATAGGTTGAATAATGCTGTGCACTGTGCTGTGCGGTCCCTCTTTGCGTTTGTGTGTGCGTGTGCGTGGTCATGCGTAATGCCATATAACGGTAATTTGAGGTTTTTCCTGCTGTCGTACTTGTTGTTGCTGCTGAGTGCGCTCTTCACCTTTGGCATTGGACTTGCAGGAATTGTCAGCTCCTCTGACCTTGACACTTGGCCACACGGCCAGGAGCAGCATTTGTACTGAGTAGGTGTGGGTGGACGGTTGGGTGCTGTCGTTCACGTGCTTTGATGTCGCCCACAGCTGAAGTTTGTGGTAAATGGATGAGTAGAGGTAGGGCTCATAAATGCACTTCATTAATTTCATGAACATGTTATATGCTTCTAAATATGAGAATCTTTCTAAACTAAAATTACACCCATTTTATAATCGTAATTACGACGCAATCGATTACTGCCTAGACTGGCCGAGGTGAACACATTGTTTTTGATTTGACTGTAGGGTTGATTATTGATTCGCGCGTGGAGTTTCAGCAAAGTTTATGGGCAACTTGTTGAAGCGCATGCTAATAAGGACTGAGAAACAAAAGCAAAAGTAATAAATCGCGCGTGGGTGTGGGTCGGGAGACTAAGCCATTGACGATGACGCACGGCTGTCTGTCTGTGTGTCTGGCCAAGTATTGGCATGTATTTGTATTACGGTCTGACGCACAATTGATAAACTGCTGCAATAAGCAGCTTACACTCCTCGTCCAACGTACCCTGTTTCTTATTGTCTTTATCTGAACGTTGCAGGGAAAAGCAACGAGTTCCACTGGCTGCGGCTGGAGCTGTTGTTGTTGTCGCTTTGGCACACTTCTGGGCAACGTATTGTCGCCGGCGACCGCAAGACTGGGCAAAATTATGAACTTGTGCTCCTCGGCTGGTGCAACCGCATCAACCTCATCACTATCGTCCTCAGGGCACGTAGAGAGTAGCAGCAGCGGTCCCTCCGAGGCCATACATTGCTTTGGCGCCGTCGGCGGCGGTGGCAACAGCGGCGGAAGCGGCCGGGCAGATACAGCTCTCAATCTAAGTAACAGAAGCACAGTAAACGGTGGTGGCGGGAATCCGACAAGCAGCAACGGTCCCAATCTGACACACAACGAAAACAACGCAATCATGCCGCCCGAGACTCGTCCCAAAATGGTGACGGTTAAGCATCCGGAATCAAATAAACCCAAGCCCACCACAAAGAAGATTGTGAAAAATATCCAGGCGGATCAGGATGTCATTAAGGCATTGCAGCGTTGCCGCGACGAAGGTAAGTAGAATGGGAGCATATAACAAACCATCGATATTTACTACTGGATTTACTTTCTGTTAGGCATAAAGCGCTTGGACTTGAGCAAATCCTCCATCACTGTCCTACCCAATACGGTTAGGGAGTGCGTCCATCTCACCGAACTCTACCTGTACAGCAACAAAATTGGGCAGCTGCCCACGGAGATAGGCTGCCTGGTGAATTTGCGGAATCTGGCATTGAATGAGAACTCTTTGACGTCGCTGCCAGAATCGTTGAAGCATTGCACACAGCTTAAGGTGTTGGATTTACGACACAACAAGCTGGCAGAAATACCGCCAGTCATTTATCGACTGCGTTCATTGACGACGCTGTATCTCCGCTTCAATAGAATCACGGCCGTGGCGGATGATCTGCGCCAGCTGGTTAATCTCACCATGCTGAGTCTGCGTGAGAACAAAATCAAGGAGCTGGGCAGTGCGATTGGTGCGTTGGTGAATTTGACCACGCTGGATGTATCCCATAATCATTTGGAGCACTTGCCGGACGACATTGGCAACTGTGTGAATCTAAGTGCACTCGATTTGCAGCATAACGAGCTGCTGGACATACCGGACAGCATTGGCAATCTGAAGTCATTGGTGCGTCTGGGTTTGCGCTACAATCGGCTGAACTGCGTGCCCATCTCATTGAAGAACTGCAAAAGCATGGATGAGTTTAATGTGGAGGGCAACGGCATCACACAGCTGCCGGATGGCATGCTGGCTAGTTTAAGCGCGCTAACCACCATAACGTTGTCACGAAATCAGTTCACCAGCTATCCAACTGGTGGGCCGGCGCAGTTCACCAATGTCTATAGCATCAATCTGGAGCACAATCGTATAGACAAGATACCATATGGGATATTCTCGCGAGCCAAGGGCCTAACAAAGCTGAATATGAAGGAGAACATGTTGACCGCTTTGCCGTTAGATGTTGGTACCTGGGTTAACATGGTGGAGCTGAACTTGGCCACCAATGCATTGCAGAAACTGCCCGATGACATCATGAATTTGCAGAATTTGGAAATACTCATACTGTCCAACAACATGCTCAAGAAGATACCTAATACGATTGGTAACTTGCGCAAGTTACGCATCCTGGATCTGGAGGAAAACCGCATCGAGGTGCTACCTCATGAGATTGGCCTGCTGCACGAGCTACAGCGACTAATACTACAAACCAATCAGATAACCATGCTTCCGCGTAGCATTGGCCATTTGAGCAACCTCACACATCTTTCTGTAAGCGAGAACAATCTGCAGTTTTTGCCCGAAGAGATTGGTTCGCTGGAAAGCCTGGAGAACCTTTATATCAATCAAAATCCAGGCTTGGAGAAGTTGCCCTTTGAGTTGGCACTGTGCCAAAATCTGAAATATTTGAACATTGACAAATGCCCACTGGGCACTATTCCGCCCGAGATACAAGCCGGCGGCCCATCGCTCGTGCTGCAGTGGCTCAAGATGCACTCGCCTTACCGGCAAATGTGAGATGTGGATGGCGTCTGGCGCACCGTCTACGTGGGCAGCGATTGCTACTATCAGTACGAGCTGCAGACGGAGCAACAGACGCAGGGTAAACAGTCCAGCGAACGGCGCTAACGGTGCGAGCTCAGCTAAGTTTCGCTACTAAGCCCGGACCCTGGCCATGCCTGTGGGTGAAACCTCTCCCCGAAACCCGACTGGAGTGTGTTGCCTGGCAAATGATAGCTTTAAATTGTTATACCAACGTCCCGCGTATTGTAAAACTGCCCCGATTTGCTTTTACCTTATGGTTTAACTCTTAAGTTGTTCACTTTGAAGCTGCTTAGCGTCATCTGATTTGGTCCTCAACTTTTTGGTTTTAGTTTTATGCTTCCAAGCTAGTCATAAAAAAACAAGAAAAAAACTCTCACTGAACGAAACTAAATTTAAATATATTAAAGCTTTAGACTTTTTTTGTTTGATGCTCGTTTAAAGACATTAACAAACTAATTGTCATAAAGGAAAGCTAAATCGAATGTTCAAAACCACAAAAAATACGCAAGCGCCAAGGAATTGTTTGAAAAAATTAAAAAACAAATTAAAACTAAAAATATATACACACATATACACGAATAAATATAATTAGTAGAGTACTTCGTATGCTTATAAGAATATAAAAACAAAAGTATTAAAATAATTTGATTAAAATTGATGACAGCAAGTTGAAATTGCAAGTTTTTTGAGCGCTTCAAGCAAGTACTATGTGGATATAATGCACCTCTATCTATAGGAACATATTTGTGTATTAAACCAACAAATTGGATTTGCTTGTAGCGCACTATAGGTATATATATAAATGTAATAAACATATACTTAGCACATGCATTATATGCATGTTAAACATTTGGAATGGTTTTGAATAGCCAAAAAGTTAAAGGAAACAAAAAAAAATAAAAATAAAACAAAAATCGAGTTAACGTAAAGTCAATATGTGTGCGTCTATAATTATAATTGTTATATATCTCATGCATTTGGTTACCATAATCACATACATTTTTGTATGTCAAGCATTGAAAACACAATACTTACGAGTAGTGTAATGCCACTTATTTGATAAGCAAAATACATAAGTATCTAGAGATAACAATTGAACCAGAAATACTCTGATTCTACACATGCATACCGTACTATACATACGCAAATAATTATCAGTGTTGTACTACATACATACATACATATGTGGGTGCCACAGCTGCATTCAATGAATAATGAATATTAATGTCTAAACAGCTCAAAATCTGTTCTGTCTTTTAAACACTGCACTACTTATTTTTGTAAGAGAAAGACTACAAGTTTTTTTTTTTTGTAAAGAACAAACACGTACATACACATATTGAGCTGTTCTCTGTTGCAACGCAAATGGGCTTTAAATCACTTTTAAAACAAATAACAACTGAATCAACGAAGCTAACTTTTACTACATGCATAAATCATAGTACGATCTATAGCTATACTTTTACATACATATTTTACATATACATATATATACAAATATTTTTTAAAAACACTTGAATTCTATACATCTACTATGTCTTATTTCAAGAACCCATGAGATATTGTATGCATACAATTGTAATCTAATTACAAAACTCTTAACAAAAATAGTAAACAAAGTACGAAAAACGTAAAATTCAAACGGTACAAAACAAACAAACAAAATATACGGAAACGTAACAAAATAGAAATAAATGTTAAAAAATGTTCGCACACTGAAGCACACACATAACACATACTAAATATAGAGATGAGGAAATCTCACTTTATGCAGTCAAGTTAAAAAGATGAAAAGTTGAAATGTAAGTACAAGTTACGAGAATATATGTTAGACTAGAGCGATTCGAGAGATTCGAGAAAGTCAAAATGTAAAGATATTCCTAAACATACAAAACATATTTGAGAAATAAACAAAATGTTAAAATTCAATGTTAAACCACAATCGAACTCGAGCTTAAAAGCTTAACTGGAAAATGACCAGCTGTTGTCCATGCCTTTGCATTGGAGTGTGCGTGTGTGTGTGAGATAGTTTCTTATGGAACAGCTGTACACTCTCTCTCTCGCTGTCTCTCTCTCACTCTCTTATAGCACGCGATAAGAAAATCGCAACTGCCAATTCATTCCGATAGACTGTCTGAAAGCAAAACAACGCACTTGCACCCTGACTGTTCAAATAAGACGGCATTAGCCCTAGGACTTAAGTAAAAAAAAAAAATAAATAAATAAAGTCAGGTAAGCAAGATAGTAGAGGTATACGAAACGTAATTGTGGAAACTGCGTGATATAAGTTGGCAAAGTTAGTAGCCCGAAAAAAAACTTGAGGGAATTCATCAGCTTGTAGACTGTAAACTGCTCTTTGTTCTTTTTGTACGCTTGAGTCATGAGCTTTATTCGAGTCTTACATATGTATATAGGAAAATGCATTTGATGCGGCCAGATAAGGCCATGCAAATAAATGCCTTTAAAAGTGTCGCAGTTCCACTTAACGCTTCACAGTGCGCATTTCAGAGAGAACCGTTGAGCATATTCGCTGATCTTTCTCAGTCGCCGCAACACAATGCATATTGGGTGTGAGCTGCTGCTGCTTTTACTGGTTGCCTGTGTATTCTTTAGCCATACGCAGGCCTACTCGGCTCTTCAGGATGCTCGGATTATCGCTCAGTATAAGCGGCAGCTGGAACTAAATCATGCCAAGATCGCGCGCCAACTAGTGCACCGTGCCAATTGGGCATCTGTGGGCAGCATTTCAACCAACGAAGTTGTGAAAGACTATCCCATGGTTAATATAATATCAGTCGATGACACTGGTCTTGGGGGCAACTCCACGGGCGTAATACGATTTTTGCTTGTCGATTTGGATTTTACGGGCCCAGACTGGCAAAAAAATAACAAGGTGACTTTCATGTTTACGGATGAGCAAACACTGAAATGCAAGAATGCGAACATGGATCCCATGGAGCCAACTTGTGCGCGTGTCATAATCAGCGGTCAAGTGAAAAAGGTCTGTTGTGATCGATTAATTAATTTTTATAGCAATAATATAGTCATGGATTTAACAGCTCCCGGACCATGATCCAAGCTATAAACCCGCACTTAACATTTTTATTAAACGCCATCCAGCGGCGGCCAACTGGATAAATGGTAAGTAGAATTTAATTTGTACTTGTTACACATATTCTTTATCATTCATGTTTTTATAGAGCATAATTTCTATCTGTGCGAACTGAACATAAGGAATATATTTGTGCTGGACTTCTATGGTGGTCCGCACCAGGTCAACGCCACGGACTATTACGCTATTAAGATTTAAGCACTGATTAACGTAGTATCTACGTTTTAGCTACCACTTGACGCGCCAGTCCTTTGTTTACCAACCGAGAAAGAATTATGTACACTGATAAGAGAATTGTCTCTTTGAACTGGCGATATTTCCGTATTTATATATTGTACTGAATTACTCTCTGTTCATCTATCTGACAATATTATATATGGATTTACGAAATAATGAGAAATTGGTGAAAGCAACAGATATCAGGAAAAATGCGACTTAAGCAAAAATAAAGATTTAATTTAAGGAATCGTATATATGCGCTCAATGTAAGGGGATCTGTTTATTTTTATAAAGCTATTTATATTCCGTTCTTTAATGTAGATATAATAAATTGTAATTGGAAAAAGTGTGCAATTGAGAGTCAAAAGCTGCCTGAATCTTTTTAAAAATAAATTGCCTGGCCAATGACAAAGGATCTATTCAGATAATTCATCCTTTATCGCTAAGTGAAAATAAACACTAAGTCGGCACTCGAAAAAAAAAACAAAAAACTTAAATTTGGAATATATATTTTTAAACTTTTAGTTCGTTTCATGTTAACGTAATTAATGAATTCGATATAAGATTATCCATATTGTTACGCGTGTGTGCCCGGCAACACGCACAGGGTGGCATCAATTTTCTGCAAGTGGGGTAAAATATCGCGCAATTTGGAACGATAGCGTACATCTGTCGCGACTGGATTGTGTTCCAAATAGATGGTTTGCAACGACTTGTTCATCTTCAGCACTTCGAGGTTCTTCCAGTTGTCGATGCCATTGTCATTCAGCCAGATCTCCTCCAGCTGCTCGAGGGCCTCCAAGTTGCCAATTACCTTCAACCTGTTCTTAGCCAGATCTAGCGTGTCCAGGTTTTTGTTCTCGGACAGATTTTCTATGGTTTCTATGCCGTTTTCGGATATGTATAGCTCTTTCAAATTGGTCAGTTTCTCCAAGTTTTCAATCTTTACTATACGATTGGCCTGCAGACTCAGTATCTCCAGGTTGACTAGCGTATCGAGATTTTCAATTTTTGCGATTTTGTTCTTGCCCAGAAACAGCTGTCGTAAATTCACCAATGTGTCGATATTCTCAATTTTCTTCAGCTTGTTGTCACCCAGCTCCAGCATGGTCAGATTAGTCAGCATGCCGAGGTTCTCTATTACGGTGAGTTTGTTTGCCACAAAATAGAGTTTCTCAAGTTTGAGCAGCTTGTCCAAGTTCTCAATTTTGGTCAGCCGATTGAAGCTGAGATCCAGTATTTCCAGGTTAACAAGCTTGTCCAGATTCTCAATTTTTGTGATCTGGTTATCGTATAGTTCCAGCTCCAAAAGGGTTTTCAGCATATCCAGGTTCTCAATCTTCTTGATGAGATTCCATCGCAGATACAAACGTTCGATCTGTTTAAGTGGCTCGAAATTCTCCAGCTTATCTATGCGGCGATGATTCAGATCCAGTTCATAGCAATCGGGATCAATCATTACGATTTCCTCAATTGAAGCCACCAGCTCTCCTGGTATTATCTGCATGCCGGCTGTTGGCTTAGCCTCTCCACTTATTGGGATTGCACTATCGCCGTCAGCCATACTCATAAGAATGCTTTTCGTTTTCTTGTTTGATATACAAATTTAACAAATTCTAAATGCCGCCTGGCCTGCTCGTTTATTTTCTAGTTGCTTTTACGGTGAATGTTATCCAGTGTTGGTAATGTGCACGAAATCAACACCGCAGTGTTGTAAGTGTTTGCTACGCTGGCTATGCGACTCATAAGAGTTGTGGTGACAGTCTCATTTACGTATTTAGTCAATACTGTTCTTAATATATTGTAATGATGTAAAAAATATACATATGTATATTTATCAATGACGGTATTAAATATGGAGACAAGGTTTTGTATTTTCAAATGCTTAATTTTTTGTAAATAAAATTTCTTTGTTAACCGCGTACTAGAAATAACAGCTGTTTATTGGTATTTTGCGCTGTAGCGAAAACGCGTGCGGCATTCTTTTTAGTTTAAATAAAATTTGTGTATATGATTAAAATGTCGTGAAAGACGGTCCTTATGCCTACTTGAGTTGCTAATTTGTGCTCCCATTTAGGACTCTCTAGATATTTTCTTATTATCGAGTAGCTGAATAAACATCATGTCGACGGGATTAAAGTGTCGCAACTGCGGATCTAATGAGATCGAGGAGGATAATGCACGCGGCGATCGCGGTAAGTATATCCTACAAAAGATATGCCACCTATTAATTATCCTTAACGCTGTTTTTAGTCTGCATGAACTGCGGCTCTGTGCTGGAGGATTCGCTCATTGTTTCCGAGGTGCAATTCGAAGAAATGGGCCATGGCGCCGCCGCCATTGGACAGTTTGTTTCCGCCGAGTCCTCGGGTGGTGCCACAAATTATGGATATGGCAAATTCCAAGTTGGCTCCGGCACAGAGTCTCGCGAGGTAACAATCAAAAAGGCTAAGCGCGACATAACGCTCCTGTGCCAGCAGCTGCAGCTGACACAGCATTACGCAGACACTGCTCTCAACTTTTTTAAGATGGCTCTGCATCGTCACCTAACGCGGGGCCGCAAGAGCACCCACATTTATGCTGCTTGCGTGTACATGACCTGCCGCACCGAGGGCACCTCACGTAAGTGGGCAGTGCTTGATTGTGGCACATCTATGGCAATTTATGAGTCTTGTTCTTGCAGATCTACTTATCGACATAAGTGATGTACAGCAGATTTGCTCGTACGAGCTTGGACGCACTTATTTAAAGCTGTCACATGCCTTGTGCATTAATATACCATCCGTGGGTGAGTTTCAATTGTGCTTGTTGGCTTAATTTAACATCGGGCGGGTAGCTGTATACCCTTCAATTAGTAATATCCCCAAATCAGTAATTTCCAATACACAATCGTTTTTACGTAAAAGCTCACAAAAGCCCCTTAATACTTCCTTCACTCGCACTTCTTAATACATGTTCAATGAATACCCATATCGGTCTGATAAATTGGATTTTAGGAAGTTCGGATAGGAAAGAGTAAAAGGGGGGCAAGGTGAGAGAGCTGGTGAAAACAATTAACGAGAGAGTGAGTCGCGAGCGTGTCTCCTCTAAACTCACCGAGCCAGAGAAAAATGGGAGGAGCGAGTAAATAGTGGCCGCGAAAAATTCCTTTAGTGTATCAAGACCAAAGAAGTCACATGCACATCTAATGTTGTTTAAATTCGAAAAAATCTAATAATGTATTTTATTGGTTAATAATCATAATACACAATTTAAAGATTTCATATTCAATATAGGATAACATTCGTCTTAAATTATATATGTATAAAAACGATCGTTTTTATTTAAAAAGCAAAAATCAGTACAATTTCCAAAGAAATCAAAAACTTGAACAGAAATATCATTGTTGCGTAGAGCAGCCTGGGCAGATTAATGCAAAATTGGTTGCTTTTATATCATAGGAAAGGCATTAGTATGGGTTAATATGAATATGTTATTTGAAAGTTTCGTAATCAAGTATAAAATGAGTACGTCTGGCTTGAAGAGATGCGTCATATTGTGCAACTAATGCAACTACAAATGCACACTACAAGGGTATACATAAAGATAATTTTTGCGCATATATATCATTGTCATTCTTATTTGAGAGTTTGGCAAATCCTAATTAAGTGTGTACATCATTAAATGTTTAACTTGGCTTTCAAATTCGTACGCATACTTCAACATGGCGTAATACTCTTTCAAGTGTATATAGTATATATCAATATTTATTTATTTGTTTAGTATATGCTGGCAAAAAATATGTTTGTATGTCGTGTTTTGCATTTAATTTTGTTTAGAATATATTTAGTTATCAATAGCTTGACTGATTGCCCGTTGTTTACTTGCTTATTGAAGATGCCTCTGATTACCTTACATACTGGCTTTCACAACGTCTCAGGTTTTTGGAACGTATTTAGTATAAGTGTATGTATGTGTGTATATGGTTAACTTCTGCGGGTTAACGCTTTCGAATTTAAAATATTTTGTTTGTATGCATTTACCAACAGACTATATGTTTGTATATATATATATATCTCTATGTACTACCAAAACTAGAGCGCTCTACGTGTGATCGTATAAGTGTGTGTATATATAATAACTATATGTATATATATCATACTGATATATATCATTCTAATATATCATACTAATATCGATATCCTTAAAACCCCAATTTGCTTTGTTGTGTTGCACTGAAAACCCATGAGTTTCTATTTTGTGTATGTTCCTGTTGTTGCGTCTGTGTTGGTCTTTTCTGTTGTTGCTGCTGCTGCGGTTGCTGGCGATAATAGCATGCGCCCTGCCACTCCGCGCAGTATAACTGCGCGCATCAGGTGTTGCTGCCATCGCTGCTGGCGGCCGTGCTGCCAAGAGGCAGCTCTTCAGTAGCACTGTTAACATTATTGCTCGAATTGCTTGCGGCTGCCCCATTTGTGACATTGGGCGTTGCGCATATTGAGCTTGTGGGCGAGTTCAGGGCGGTTACTGTAGTGGGTCCGTAGAAGATTAGTTCGGGGATCTGGCCACCCTGCACGCCCGTGCCGTTGGTGCTCTCCGACGAGCATTGGAATTGGAATGTAACATTGCCCATGAGCACTTCAGACATGCCCTCTTGGCCAAAAAAGCTTAGCTCATTGCCATCCAATATAACTGAGGCTGTGTAATAGCACTCTGGTTCGATCTGTATGGGATTCTCAAAGAACACGTGGAAAGTGTTGCTCGACCCATCTGAAAAGAACTTTGTATCATTCTCCGCCAGCGTACGCCCCAATCGCTTCAGCTCAATCTTAACATTGTAGTTGGCCGCTCCCGTCGAAGAACCGTAGAGGCCAAAGCCCACAATGAAAATTCTATGGGGAGGGCAAAAATATTTAAATCGCTGATCTCATATATGTTTCTGTTTGATTTACTCACCTGCGATCTACTGAGAACTGTATAGAATCACAGCGGCCCCGGTAGCGCCACTGATTTGACCGATAGGCGCACGATTGGAAGCGATGGCAAACTTGGGTTTTGAGACCTGCACGCGGTCGCGTGGGAAAGCTGAGAGTGGGCTTGATTTTGGCTGTGAAATGCAAAAACATGTCAATTGTCTCCTGGGATGTGAGTATGCCCGTTTGGGCTACACCATTAGCAAACTCCTCCAGTGTCATGGTCGGTATGCGAATCAGATGCAACGCCTGGCCCAGAACTCGGCGCTTGTTAGGCGACGTTTCGTCGATGCTCATCTTCTCACAGGCATTGATTGCCCAATTGAGCGCAGCTTCAAATAGATGTATCTCTTTGCAGTTTAGTGTCTCGCGTGACAGTATCGACTCGAAAGTCTTAAGGTCAATGTCCACAAAGTCTTCGGACTTAACCGCCATCTCGGCCTGAGCGTCGATCACTTCCCAGCAACGTTGCATCAGTTCGGGCTCCTCGAAAAGACGCGATTGACTGAGAAGTAGACAGGCGTTTTTTGCCGTCAACTTTACTTCCAGATAGTTGACGCAGGCGCGCGCCAAATGTGGCACAATATATTTCTTGGCTGCATACAAAGTGGCCAGTATGTGTTCAGGTTCCAGTTTGATTTCATCACAATAAAGATACCTACAGAGAATTTGAGTGAGTTAGAAATTGGGCAATTAAATAAACGACTCTTACCTTAGAAGCGTTAAAAAGGCTGTGGGCTCTACATCGGGCACTTTGATTTCCTGCTTGTCCTCCGCTAAGCCGCCGTAGAACATGGCATAAAATACAGAGCTGCCCGTTGCGAGTATATATTTGTGTGCGGGTATAGTCTGAATGGGATCAAAATCTATTGAATTCGCAAAGGAATACGATTAATTTGGTGTCTCCTATGTGATCCGTTATAGCCTACCAAACTCGCTGCCCACGATGAACTTGACATCTGACAGCAGCTCATTGTTAAACATTGCCGCATTGCGCTCCAGCACGGTTGCCTTGCTGGCCTGCCAGTTTGGATCGGCCGTGTCAATTGCATTGGAGGCGCCTACGGCGGCATAGCTGCTATTGCTGCCAGCTGCACACACATACGATCCGCTGCCGCTGCTGGGCGTTGACGTTGCAATAGCTGCGTTCGCCGCAGCCGCTGCCGAGGCAATGGCCGCTGCGGCCGCTGAACTGGAGGGTAGGCAAAATGTGGTGGGACTACTGCCACTGTTGCTGCTGTTCAGTGCGCCTGGGGACGCCAAGGGCGAGGATGGCGCACTTATGGGCTGCGTAATCTGTATATTATGATCGGCGGCGCTGCCAGAACCCGCACCTGGAGATGTGACTGCGGCACCACGCTGCTGTTGCTGCTGCTGCTGATGATTGTGCGGCGGCGAGTGCAACAGTCCGTTGCCATTGTTTAGCGTCTCCACTGAAAAGTAGAATAGTTCAATAAATTGTTTTAGCATAGATTTCCATATTTATATCTAAACCATGCCCAACCGTACTCCGCCAGCTTCTGCAGAAATCGCTGCAGCATTTGGTAACTACTAGCCTCCTCGGCCTCACTTCCGCTACTGCGCCAGTTCCCATCGGTGTCCCCATTCGCCGTGGCTGCAGCAATGGCGGCCCCCTTCCGAAACGGTCCCCCATATCAAACCCAAACGTAATGTGGAACGTCCAAAAATAGCTGCGTCGACGTTGGCGCTGCTGTTGTTGCTAAATCTGCAGCTCGCGACTTTTAGCACGGACCCCAAAGCAGCGTTGTCTGTGTGCGTCTCCTTGATATTAATAATAATGTGCGTCTGTGTTTTTATGTGCGTGAATTGCTAATCGGAGCGGATTATCACTTTGTTGTTTTTTAAAAATGTCAGAGTTATGTGTCTTAATTATTTTGAACATATACAAATCAACAAGTAAATAATAATAAACAAAATCCACCCCTTTAACCCTACCTCCTATTCAACTGTCACACACATACTACAACAGTCGTCGCCTGTTTTGTGAAAAATCGATAACACGGACACACGCACACAGGTACTCGTAGCGACGACGCACCTGCTATTTTGTGTATTTGCTTGCACTTTTCTTACCATTAATCCAGCCGCCGTTATGCTGGGAGTGTGACATGGATTCTTGATTCCGTTTGTTAGTTGTTTTCAACGAGAATCGATTCAAGGCGTTGTTGTTGCTATTATTGCTATTATTATGGCTATTGCTGCTGCTAGCCATGACTACGCTGTGTTTGTATTGTTTGCACAGCAGTCAGAGAATGGAAAATTCCGAAAGGTCACTAACCGACTTTTAGGAAAAAACACAATGTGGGCACTCTGCTTTTACTTTGAAATGAGTGCATCCAATTTGTTTTCAATTAACTGGCGACATTTTTAATGTCATTTTAAAAATTAAAGAAACCTGCGTATATCGGCCTGAAAGAACTTTCAGTAGTCGGCAGATAGATAACTCGATAGACAGTGGCGGTCAGACGATTGTCGATCTACACATAACATCCACACTAGCGATGCATCTGGCTGGTGTGTGATATAGCGGCCAGCTTTTTGGCGGCTTAAGGCGCGCGTGTTTTGAGTTTGAATGAGCTGAATTTCAATTTACTTTGGCTTTACGTCAGTTTCGCAAGCGGCTTGGGCCGCAATTCATTGATTATATCATGGTCGCGGCTAATATGTATTTCCGTCATGCCAATTTGAAACGCTGTGCCCGCGCTCGCGTTCCTGCACTTGGGCTGCCCCATTAAAAAACGTCAATGCGTACGTGAATTCCAAACATTACCACAGCCTTGTTCAGTAGCTGAGGCAGCATCATGTACATATTAGCCCATGCTTTTAGTTTTTAAACTTGACTCATATTTTTTTGTTTGAATACAGCTATTGATTATGGCTGGGCTGCGCATATTTAATATGACCACCAAAAATTTGAACTTGAAATCGATTTGGTTGCTTGTTTGGGCATCGTTGCTGTCATCGCTGAAGGTTTGTTGATTTCTTAGCACACTAAAAAAAACACACACACACACCTGAGATTTTTACAAATTGAACACACACGCACACACACAAAACCAGTTTCTGCTTATGAGCTACCGGCTAAGCCAAGAAAGAAAACAACAAAAATGTTGTTGACCTTTGCTTTAACGAATTTTCAATGAGTAGCTTCCTACGGATTTCCCACATGCCCAATACTTACTGTTGCGCTGGCGCTGCTGCTGCTGATCCGTTTGATCTTGCTCGGGCGGCGGCAGTTCCTCGTTTTCCGGGACGCGTGCCGCGTATTCCGGCTCATAGTTGTGCGCATAGGCGCTGCCCCAATGGCCGGCAAAGTCGTCCTCTTCGAGCGTTAACAGGTGATCCAGCACCTGCACGCCCCGTTCGAGGGGACCGTGAAATTTGTTAATTAGCTCGGAGAGACGCAGATTGAGGCCGTAGTTGGCGCCGTTGACGCTTCTTGGCTTCGTCGTATCGATCGCCCAGTAGAATAGATGACGCCCCAGATGACTGCTCAGGGTGTTTGCAAAGGCTTCGATCATCTTTGTAGCATCATCGTTGCGAAATGTGGCATGTTTACAAACGCACGCTCCTCGTTTCCGACTCCCACGGCACTCTGGCACTGCAACTAATCAAAAGGCCAAGCGTGAGATTATATAATATGATAATACAGTCACTGAACTCTCACACACACACTCACGCACTCTCTCTCTCTCTCTCTATCTATTTATCTATCTGCTGTTTCTCTAACCCGAAATCTCGGTTTGCGGTCTCTGCGTTGCACTTTCACTTCCACTTCCCATTTTCATTTCCACACGCATTTGTCGCTTTTGGATTAGCTACAGGAAATCGTTTAAACTGGCTCGGCCTTGGCGTTTTTCGGGTCGCTCTGCTCTCATGTAATCCGATCTCCCCGCTTTTGCTTTCATTTTCACAGTCATTTCTCGGGCAGAATCCACACCTGTCGTCGTGATGCCTGTGTGGATGCCTGCGCTGAGCTACGGAAATTATGCAAGCGGCCACATTTAATTGGCAGCAATGCGAAGTCCGTAACCAAAACAAAACGGCAACACTACAAAAACACACACACACACACACTAATACACTGTCGCAAACACTGGACAACACATTCCGTGGTGTCATGCCGCTGACGATCCGCTCGACATGCTGACTGCCAGCGGGAGATGCGGGAGTGCGTTTAGCAATCAACAAGCGACGACGTCCCGCAAAAAATCTAACAAATAATTAGTTGGCACCCAATGAAAATTTGGCATGCGATTGTTTCCGGGGCAGCATTTTGTAGATCTCCTAATTATAACATTAACTCAGCTGATCACTGACAGAATTCGGTAAGCTACGAACAGCTGGTTTGACCAGCCGAGCTTGACCGGAGCTGAGCTTGTTTGTATAAAGTAATTTAATTAACTGCAGAGTTAATTCAAATCTGATTGTGATATATAACTATTTATATATTATTACTCACTTAGTATTGTCTTTGGTATAACTATTAACTATTAAAATCAAGGCTGCCAGCTGGATTTGAACCAAATACTGTGAAGCAAACTTCGAACCAAAGCAGTTCAGCAATAATCAGCCGAACCGAACCATATTTTTCAAAAATGATTGGGCTCAAAATACAAAACTTTTACGGGAGATGGGCTCAAAATACAAGTCTTTTGCGGGAGACCCAGCATCAATGCATTTAAATAACGTGGCTTGTTTTTTGTCTAACCATATTTGGTTGATGTCGATTTTGGGTGGGTGGCACATTTGAATAAATTAAAATTGAATTGTTTCATTCGAATTTTGAAAATAAATGATATGTTTACAAACGAAATTTATAAGCTCGAGCCGTAATCCCAACCACCCCGACAATTTCAATAAGTAGGGTTTATTTTTTAAAATAATATATATACGTCCATGCGCAGCTGTGCTTCATGTAGCTGAGTATATATCTACTATATATTATGTGCACACTACGCTGAATGCTGTTCAGTGTTGAGAATGCTGCGTTTTCAGTGCTGCACAATGCACAATAAAGCGAAATTTTAACAGAAATGATTCAGAGTTAATTTCAAGAAAAGTGAGACGTGCATTGTTAGGCTAATTCCTATGTACATCAATCTGCATTTAGGTATGTCACATATGTATATGGGTATCTGTGATCCATAAGAGTGCATCTGCTATATACAATCTTTGATATTTATACGCGTAATTCCACAAATACTTGCAATTTATGCTAAATGCATTTCTCGACTTGACAAGCAAGTCACGTTTAGTACTCATCACTTGTAGACTTCATTTTCGTTTTCCTATTGTTTTCTGTTTTTTGTTTATGCACATTTCGCATTTTGTAGTCAGTTCTTGGTTAATTTGTGTTCCGCTTTGGCTTTTGCAGTTTGGAAACGCATTTCAAATTTGCCGCTTGCATTAACTTTACGCGCCCTTTTCTTAATTTATGTATTTTGTTGGCTCCGTTTTCATTACATTTTTCATTGCCTCTTTAATTGCAAATGTCGACCCCATTTTGACCAAGCCGGGTCAGACCGCAACCACCGGCGAGCGACAGGCGGACAGACAGACGGACGGACGGACAAACGGGCAGACGGTTGGACAGACATGAGACGGTCACAGACCCAGACCCTAGAGAGACCCCAAAACAACGCCCGCGTAACACTTTCGATTTTTATTTCCTCATTACATGCGTACAATGCAAAAGAAAAGAAAAGGCAAAAAACCAAAAAAATAAAAACAATATATTTATAAAAAAAAAAAACTCAAGAAAAAAGTGAAGAGCTGTCTTTTTTTGTTGTTTTTTTGTTGGCTTCGTGGAGCTGCTAAATTGGTCTTCTCTCTTGTTTTCTCATTATACCTTAACTCACTTTACGGGCCACGTTAAAAATATATTTTGTTGCATTTTCATTTGCAGTCCGATTTTGCAATCACAACGCATTTAGCTGATTAGCGAAATACAGTAGAGAGCGGCGATTCGAATTACCCAAAAAAAAGGGAGGGCAAAAACAGTTATTGGCCATACGTGAACAAAAAGATTGGCCTTAAATCCAAGCCCTCGCAGCTGAGTAGCCATTCGCTCACGTGGCTGTTGATTTGACGATTTTGCGCTTTAATTACGAGCGCTTGTCAGATCGTTTGGCGCAATAAAAAAGGGCATTTGAACTATGTCATAAGGTTTGTTGGCCTACCAATATCTTTTTTATGTTTAAGTACTGCAGTTCTAGTCTTAATTTCCTGCTCGATTTCCTATTGTATATGCGGATTTGGTCTGTGTCTCCAATTGTCAATTCAAATACAAAGCTCCCACTTCTCAACTCTCTGTGATCCATATTATATGTGTTGCATACATAAGTATGTTTGTTTTAAATAAAGTACTATATTATATATATTTTTTTTATGAGAACTATAGAGTTTTACAATAAAATCGAGAAAGTAAGGATAACCTGGGCACGATGAAGATTTTATACCCTTGTAGACATTTACCTTTGGCAGATATGCGAGAATAGTGAACCTCAAAAACGTTTAGTTTGATAAAAATATTTTTGAAAAGAGAATATTTTGAAGAGAAGAACTATTCGACTGATCGTTCCTATGACAGCTATATGAAGTAGTGGTCCGATTCGTCTCCGACATATGGACTGCTTGCAACAGAAAGTTGCAAAGCTTAAAGACAATAGCTTTAAAACTGAGAGACGAGTACCCAAAAAGAAACGGACAGTCGGTCGTGGCTATATAAACTTGGCTGTTGATGCTGATCTATATTATATGTACATTTTGGGCTCGAAGCTGTCTATGCGTTAGACATATCATGACAAAATAATAGTAGCAGGGTATCAAATAAACATCTTTGATCGTACATCTTTTCTATGAACTGTTTACTTTCCCTCTTTAATTTTATATTTACGTGATTCTTTTTCCCTCTTCCATTATTCAAGGAAAGCACAGCTAGTGATAAATAATAAGAGTAGCTTGCCCTTTAGAACTTATAAGCCAGAGTATCTGCTACTCGTCATTATGATCTTAGCTCATCTTTTAGCTTTTCGCTTTTTTTTTTTGTTTTTTAGTATTTTTGAATCTGCTGTGTATCTGTTAGGTGTTGTCAAATTACTTTATGCCTCGTTTCGAGTGCCCTTAGGTGGTTTTGCAATCATTCAGGCAGGCAGCCAAGCAGTCAGGTGTCGGTCGCTTGGGGGTTGTCTGTCAGTCTGTCTGTCAGTCAGGCGGTCGGGTTGTCGGTCGGTTGAGGCCTTGCGGTTTAGACGCTTTGATTTGCAGATAATTTTATAGACATTAGTGTGCAGTTTTACTACTCGTACAACAATCTACTCGTTTTTATTAATATTTCTTTATATGCAATTACATGCATGTACATACAAGTACATACATATACATATATCGAATCTTTTTTCTATATTTTTTTTGGAAAGTCATGCTGTATTTTGTCTAATGACTTGCCGACTTAACATTTTTTGACTTTTGTTTGGCTTTTGAAGTCTTTCAAAAGTGTTTCACAATGAGCCCAAAAATTCCCCCCACACAATGCGCTTTACTCTTGGGTTCTTTATCAAGCTGAAAGTCATGCGCATAATTTTTTTGTTTTTGTCTTCCTGCGACAGCCTCTAAATTTAATATATGATTTCTGATATTTGTGTTTCTACTATTAGTTTGTTGCGAAAACCAGTTTCAAAGTTGTTGTTGTTGTTGTTGTTGTGCTTTTGTTTGCTCAATTTCTTAAGCGCTTCGATATTCTATGGCCGCATTGAATTGTCATCAGGTTTTTTGGGACTGTCCAAAAGTGTTTTTTCCTCCTTTTCTATTTTCGTATTATTTAATATTTAAATATTCATGTCTCAAGTCGCGCGCTTCTCTGAGCAGAATTTCAATGAACCATTCGCAAAACGAGAATAGGAAGACAGTTTTATTTTATTTTTTCCTTTTCTGCGGTCTTAACAACGGGTGGGGCAATTTATATTTGTTGTTTTTGTTGGTGTTGGCTACGAGTGAAAACTAAATGGAATTGTTTGTTTGTCATAGACGAGTATATTCGCTGCCAGATCTTGGCGCGTTCCGAGCGGCTTCTTCGCAATTTCCGTGCCTTAAAACAACTATTAACAAAAACACCTTAACAAATTGGTCATAATTAAATACTGTAAATTACAGCTTAGGGTAAATTATTATATGACGAGACAAGCACAAAGAAATTATTCAAGGTTCGAAGAAAATTGAGAAAATAGGTAGATAGCACATAGTATAAAATATGTATATATATATATTGTCAAATTGAATATGCACTTTGGCAACATTTTAATGCATTGATTATAATTATAATATTTATATCGATTAGGGAATTTTTGCTGTATTAACTTTAGTTGGGATAAATCTATTAACTATTTTCATTATCTGCATATAAGTGTAATTAAAATGTATATTTTTAGCATTTTTTTGCAACTATTTATTTTATTTAGAATATATACTTTATAATTTGTTATTTCTGTTAAATTCACTTTGATTGCATGATATCGAATAAAAAATATGCAAGTATTGTTGAGACAGCACAAGTAATCACTCATTAGACTCGAAGTGCTACTCAGAGTGGGGACTCACAATGACCAATCAATGGGTTGTCAAAAATATGCCCGATCATTTGGCACACTTTATATTTAAGGCAGTTAAGTTAGTTAAGTTATTCAGACAGCTTAACATTCTGATCTACTCGTACGACTTGTGGCAAAACTTGAACTTTATTTTGTTTGATTTTGCATTAGCTAATTTCTGTATACGCATTAAGTATTCTGTTTAAACAGATTTTTAGCACTTTCTTTGCCCAGCTTTAGTTTAAGCTGGGCTTAAATACACGTTTTCTCTGTTAAATCTTAACTTCTGATCAAATGCTTCTTTGTTTTATTATTTATTCAAAAATATTGTTTACATTGACGTCATAAATTATTTGCACATTATTATTAAAAAAATGTGTCAACAGGTAAGACGACCAAAATCGTCGGCCTGCTGAGCGAAGAGAAAAAGATAGAGATTGAGTGAGTGAGAGAGAGAGGGCTGCGAGATAATTATTATGAGATATAACCGGCGAAATTTTAATTAAACATGTGATTTAATTCGATTTATTTGTTGTGTTTTTTAATTGCAGTGCACTTCACAACGATGTGAATTTGTTTGTTTTTAGATATATAGTATATATATCTTTTTTTATTATACACGCACTTTGCCGGCTCTCAACTCAATTGCACATAAATTAAAACGTCAACAGAAGAACGCGCGCTTTGCAATTAATAATATTTATTCAACAATTTCAAGACAAACACACACACACTCACACATACACATAATAACAATTAAATATAAAAAATGTTTAGATATTTTTTTTACATGTGATTTTTGCGCATGCGCGTCGTTCGACTTTGCTGCTGCGGCTACGGCTGCTGCTGCTGCTGCTATTGCTTTTAGTTGTTCGCGAGTCAACGAACGAATTCGAAATGACACGACGACAGCAGCGATTCAGCTTCTTGACGATCGACGCGTTGCCGCTCAGGTGTTTCTCAGGTATTTCGTCTGCGAGCGGGTCGACTGTGTTGCCTTGACAGACGCATGAATTGTGCATTTATCGCATGCGATATTTCTATTTATTTCGTTTGGTGATTTTTTATTTATTTATTTATGTTTGTTTGCAGAGTGTGAATAAAATGTAGTTTACGGTTTCAATTTGATTTTTATGCCCAGCTTGGAATAGCGTTAATTTTTGTTTATTATTTATTTAGTTAGACCCTTTTGCATAAGGTTTTAAATATGAGAAGAGCCTTGCAGCAAGGTGTCTCTCCTGAGCTTTAAGTGGTCGCCCTAGTCAGTGTTAGAAATATGTTTATTAAATTCGCAAAAAAGCCTATAACTAACACACATAAGTAAAACCACGAAAATAATATTTAAACTCTTTCTTTTGTTCGTACTTCGTTTCATTTAACGAAAGGCTTGCATAAAACTGATTTGTTTATTCTGAAAACTAAAACTGACTTGTATTATGTTTGATTTGTTTTATGTTTACAGGTTTCAGTCTGGCATATTTAATAGGCTTACCTAATAGTTATGATCCGAACTCATACAAAGAGGCCGGCGTTTAAATTTTATACAATCTTTATAGGCATCTATTTATTTGTAAGCTGCGCTTAATTTGTTGTTAATTGATTGAGACAGAATTCAGATATTGAAGGTTGGCGGGTTTAGTTATTGCTTAATATTTAAGCAAACCACAGCACAATGCTAGTTAATAATTAATCGTGGCTAAATTAAATAGCAATTAAGCACCATAGCCGAGTTAATTGCGTCTAGGAAAGCGCTTGCCCAAATTGTTGCCATTTTGCAAGGGCAACAAAGTGTTCGCTGGGCGCAGTCCGGGGGGTTTTTTTTTTGGTGGGGAGGGGGTGTTGTGTAACACGCCCAAAACGATAATTGCTGTCATGACAAACGCAAAAATAAAGTTTAAATAATAATAATTTCGCTAGCTCCTGCAATGAGCGCTGGCGTCGGCGGACAGGGAAACATTAAGAAACCATTAGCAGCAGCAGATACCGTGGCCGCCCCGCCCCGCCCCCTCTGCCACACCGCCCGCAGCGGGCTGCTGTCAGATATGGGGGAGCAGCAACTGCAACAGCTGCTGCTGGATGAGTGGATGCTGCACAGAAGGGTCAATGCAGTCGCAGCAGCGACAACGGCATCATTTTTCAAGTGGAACCACTCGACAGTTGCATGAGTGGGCGGCTTGAACTTAGGCGGGGTTGGGCTGTCTTAAATATGCGCATTCATTAGGGTTTAATAAATATTTTTTCGAGCACTCTTGCCGGACCCTGTGAAAACCGCCGCAACCCAAAGGGGCTGTTGTTGTGCTTGTAATTGCCGTCGACGTTTAGCGGCTGCCTCAGTGTGTCAAGTTGTTGCACAAACAGGGCTTAAGGGCCTGCCCAGAAGGCTAATGGGCGCGCACACATATCACACATATCGCATATCGACTGCACCACTGTGCATATAATTTTGGCATCTCAATATAAATTCGTATCGTTTAATGCAAATTTGTAGCTTAAGATTGACGGTCAACTGGACCCCAAGCGCCCCTGTGACTTTAGTCACACGCTTGTCAAATATTAGCACCGTCTCGCTTGGCGCAGTTGACTGCAAGGTTGTTTAGTTTAGGTCTATTGTGGACTTAGTATTTTGTATTTGGTATATGGTGTTTAAGTTTGTGCTCTTCGCACTCTTTTCGCACATAATTTTGATTTTCCAGTGCGTTTTGTGCAAAGTCTATTTGCCTTGCGTGTGTGTTGGCGGGTTCTTTGTTGTTGCTGTTGCTATTTGCTTTCGGGCCAGTTACTAATTGCTGCGCGTTGCTGTGTCACCTTTTTGCATTTTCCAGACCAACTAGAACTAATTACCGGCTTAAGAGGCAAACACAAATGGCCAAAAAGACGTACTCAACACGTCTTTCAGGCAACCTGACGTATGCGCAATATTGCTGCGGTTTTCAAATCTATCGCATGCTACTAAAAAGCTAACTAACTTGCTCTCACTCTCTCTCTCTTACTTGTGCTCAATCTTGACTCGATCACAAGCCGCTCTCTCTCTCTCTCTCTGTGTCTCTCTTTTTGTCTTTCGTGACTGCGCTCAATGCCAGCGTCTTGTAAAAGTTGAATGAATTAAAAAGAATATCGTCTTGGCGCTCGGGTTCAAGTTTGTTTTTCGGCTGTCGCATGGCCGGTTATTGGCTATTTTCGATTTCATTGCTTAGAGGCGCTTTGAAGGTCGCTGAACGACTTCTTTTGCTGCGGCTTGTTATCAATTTTTTTTGGTGGCCATGTGGTTCGGCAGCCAAGAAAAAAACTTGTTGTTGTGCACTTAATTGACAAGTTCCTTATTGCATCATTTACACGCCTTTTCAGATCCCTGTCTGTACATCATGCGCTTCGCGAACCGACTGCAGCTGGGGCCCAAGACCCACGAGGTGTCCATGACGGCGCTGCGCATTGTGCAGCGCATGAAGAAGGACTGTATGCACTCGGGACGTCGACCCACTGGACTCTGCGGAGCAGGTGAGTTTTCCGTAAATTGATTTTAGTTGATTTTTTTGTAATTTGTTGGCTTTTGAAATTTGCAGCACTGTTGATTGCCGCTCGCATGCACGAGTTTAGCCGCACCCTCGCAGATGTCATCGGTGTAGTTAAAATTCATGAGTCCACGCTGCGCAAGCGCCTGTCCGAGTTCGCTGAGACGCCGTCGGGTGGTCTGACACTGGAGGAGTTCATGACCGTTGACTTGGAGCGTGAACAGGACCCGCCCTCGTTTAAGGCAGCGCGAATTAAAGATCGCGAGCTCATACAAAATGTGAGTACATATTTCATGTAAATAAAATCTTTTTTTGATCTAACCTTAATATCATAGATGGGCGTGCATGAGCTGACGGAGCTGCAGAAGGAGATCGATGCGCATTTGGAAAAAGATATTGGAAAATACACTGAAAGCGTTTTGCGAAAAGTGACAAAAGGCAAGAAGGAAGAGTCTGCACAGTCAAGCAAACATAATCAGTTGTCGGAAACGGAACTTGAAATACAGGAGTCCAGAGAATTCATTGAGGCATCCAATGCCGAAGCTATTCAAGAGTTTATTGTAAACAACACGGATACGGACTCTAAGCCCCAAGCAGTCATGACCAGCGCCGTAATCGAAGGTCTGCGTCCCGACATCGAGGCCATTTGCCGTGTAACCGAAAGTGAGCTGGAGGACGTAGAGCGCGCCAAGCAGCCAATGGAGACTGAGTTATTTGTTGACGACTTGAACGATGAGGAACTCGATCAGTATGTGCTAACGGAGCAGGAGGCCGACACTAAACTAAGCATGTGGAAGAATTTAAACGCAGAGTTTCTCCGCGAGCAAAAGGAGCGAGAGGAACGGCTGGCCAAGGAGCGTGAGGAGGGCAAGCCTGAGAAGAAGAAGCGCAAACCTAGGAAGAAAGTCATCGGGCCATCGTCTACCGCTGGCGAAGCCATCGAGAAGATGCTGCAGGAGAAGAAGATCTCCAGTAAAATCAATTACGACATCCTAAAAACCCTAACAGAAGGCATGGGCTCGTTTACGGGCGAGGGTGAGACAGTTGAAGATGCTCCCAAGCCGAAGACATTGGAGGAGCTGGAGCAGACTCCCGTCATTGTGGAGGAGGGACCCATCTCAGGCAAAAGCAGCCGCGGCAAACCAAACTACGATATGCCAGGACCCAGTCGAAAGCGCGTCAAAGTGGAGGCTGGGCTGCCCGTCACTGAGCCCGAGGAGCAGCTGGAGGCCAAACCAGAGATTGCGCAGGAACCAGGTGAGCTCGAGGCTGTAATTTTATTGCCGACATATTCTTTATTTATTGTTTCGGTCTTTTAGATGAGCTAGATGACGAAGCCGAAGCAGAGGATGCCGATGCCGAAGCCGAACCAGAGCCGGAGCCAGAGGCCACGCTGCAGGATATGCTAAACCAGGGCGCTGGAGATGACGACGATGAGTATGGCTATGGCTTTGACGAGGAGGAGGAATACTAAGTTTGGGCGTAGCATTTAGTATTAACACATTCTATACGGTCATTTTTATACACAAAAAGATAATCAGCAACTACTCATAATATAATTAAATTAAGCCTTAAATTTACAACTTTGCCGACTGCTCTACTTCTTCTTTATCTTCTTCGTCCGGTTCTTGCTACATGCTGCACTTGTTGCAGTTTCGCCTTCTCTTTTTGCGCGTTAGCAGCCATTAAATCATCGCTCCCTCTTGCCCTGAGGCCTTAGCGCAGCCATTTACATGTTTAAGCCGTGTTGCTGTTGCCTCCAGGCTCAAGTGGAGCAGCGCTGCGAGCTGGGGTAGGTGTTCAGCTTGAGGGGTTAGGTTTTTGCTGCTGCTCTGTTGCTAGTTTGCTTCTAATTGTTGGCGCTGCCGTGGCGCTGCCGTGGCGCGCCTCCAAGTGCTGCAAATAAATATTTCACTCTTAATCATGTTTTGCACTCGCTGTGTTGTGTGCTTGCCTTTGCGCTTGATGTTGTAGTTGTTGCGCCCCAGGCGGCCAGTCGTCCAGCCGGTCAGAGATGGTGGCAGCCAAGAACTTGACTTGGCTGCTCGCCTATGGCTCTGGCTTTGGCTTGCGCTTCATGGCTCGACGGCCTCGTGGACTGTTGAGTGCCAAGTGCCCGGCAATGAGCTGTTGAGTGTTTGGAGCACTTGTCTTTGCGATTTTATAGTTATTATGTTGTAATTAGTGTTAATTTAGTTGCTTGCGCACGGCAGTCGAACTAAGTTAACAATTCGCAAAGTGTTGCATACTCTTAGGCCGTTGCATAAATTTCATTCTGCACTAGTGGACTTTTCCATTTCGATCTACGTGTTGCCTATAAAAACTTCAGTTGTAAGCTTCAGGAGTGCTCTTAAAATTGTAGGAAAAATATATAATAAATTGATGAAGCCTTTAAGTCAAGTAAAGCCTATCTGTATTCCATCGATTAACATTGCCATCACAGTCGAAACTGTCTACTTTAAAAATGTATTGCTTCTCTGCGAAAATATATCGCTAAAATTTTGGTAAACTATAGAATTTAATAACTATAATACTATCTGATTTTATATGTTTACTATTTTATATATTACTATCGATGTGATGCACTATCAATTAATTCACAATATTAAATATGTTATTATTATACGTTTTATACAGCTCATTCCTGAAAGATTAAAATGATAATGTGAAACTTTAGCTTTACAATTAATTAATTTTTTGATCTTTCTACAACTTGAGTGAGTTTTTATGGGTGTATTTTAAGTCAATGTAATAGTAATGGGTGCTGTTGCCGTTCTTATATGCATTTGGGAATCTTGGATTACATGCATGCGCATGAATTTGGACTGTTGTTTATATGTCTAAATCTGGTCGCTTGTTTCCCTAGTTCGGTAATAGGGTTGTGCTGTTGCTCCTGCAGCTGCGCTGATAAACGACTTTGTTTTGCATGCCGTAGAGGTTCAGGTCGTAAATATTAGCAACGGGTAAAGGACTGCCACAAATTTGCGTGCATTTAATGCCTGTCCGCTAATTTGCATAAGCTTCGGGCTTAAAGCAAATGATTAATAAAACGCACACGTCCACTTGGAGCTTGGAATGCAGTTAAAGCAGTGGGCGTGGCCGTCGCAGAGGCTGCGGCCAACGTCCAACTTCAAATAATAATGTCAAATGTATGCACATGTAAATCCAGCTAAATGTGACATCCAAATGGCAATTAGAGAGACAACTCTCTCGACTTGCCAGACACTTGGAAAGTTTTGGCTGGGCGTGTGACTTTGCCCAAGCAGTGCGACAAATTTATGCACATTGATGCCAAGGGAAAAAGGAGTGGGGGGAGGGGGGGGGGGGGGGTGGGTAACTTAGAGAGAGTGTGCGATGAATTGTTTTCGCAGTTCGAGCAGAGCCTTTGATGTGCATAATTCAGGCATAATCCGTTCATTAATCATTAAAGCTATAAATTTTTAAAAATTTTATGGCTGCACAATGCTCTTATATGCCTTTGACAACTGTCAGCTGTGGTGCTTTAATTAAAAAATTCTTGCTTACGACCAAATTACTACAATATATACAATACTATATATATAAAAGAAAAATATTTTAAATGTCTGTGTTTTATAGTTGTATTTTAATTTAATTTAATTAAAAAACAATCGAAGCAGCAGCCATTTTTATATTTTGTTTTTCGAAACCAACCGACTGGATTTCACTTCACTTTACACGTTATTTTCGGATTTGGCCAGGTCTATTATTAATTGTAACGACCGCAAGTTGCCATTGGCATGGGACATGCCCGTCAGCGCCAGAGACCAATTTGAAAATGATTGAAGCGAGGACTTTAATTAAAAAATATCCTACGGAGTTCTTGGTAGTCCGGCCAATGCGTTAAATTTATGTAACTGCAGCAGTTCATACGTATTGTCAATCTCTTAATGCGCTTAAATTGCACTGCATTAAGTATACGCCACGTACAAATTGCGCTTTTTTCCGTTTATATCGCCATGTTCACTATTAAATTTGCATTTACCATGCCAAAAACTGATTAATTTGGCGTGATTTTCAAAATATATACATACACACATATGAGTGCGTATTTGTGTGTGCGGTGTAAAGTGGGTAAAACTTCAATTTCGTTATACTTGATTTATTTCATTGCAGAAATACACAGAAATGAGCGTAGGTATGTGTGTGCGTGTGGCGTCTAATTTATGCGCTAATTAAGTATGTTGTGTTGTGTTGTGTTTTGCAGTTCGAGTGTTCCGGGGCCATGAATAAATTTAATGCTTTTTTAGGCAGCTACCTGCCAATTAATTAGGTTACTAAATGATTTGTTTAGTAATTTGTTTCCATATCCACTGTGGTCTGTGACACTTTGGCGAATGTGGCTTTTATATGCACCAAAAATGTGTCCATTTGAATATTACACATTTCATATTATTTTTCGTTATTGCTTAGGGACTGGTGTATGTTATAAAAAGGGACTCTCAACATACACATATTTGTATTAATTTGATTCAGAATTTATAATGATATCTCAGGAGATTATGATTGAATTCGATGCCTGGTCAATATCTTAAGTCTATAAGCACACGGATTTTGTGTTATATATCAGTCCAGTGCTTGGAAACGTCTTTGGAGTCTCTATGCAAATGCAGTCTGCCCGTTGTCAATCAGTTAATGTTTACATACAGCCGGCGCTTAATAGGAGCCTACAGAACGCACTTGGGTTGCGACTGGCGGTCAGTGATAATGGGTTGGCATTTGAAGTAGCCAGCAAATGGTCAAGTCACGGCTGCAGATGCTGGAAAGCAGCAGGCATAGCAGTTAAGTGTTGGTCAACTAGCCACACATATATACACACACACACACACACACACTTGCAAAGGCGTACACATCGCATGCTGAGCAATGGCAGTTAACAGACAATTTCCAGCTGCCAAGCAGCAGGCAAAACATAAACCCACAACGGCACACACAACCGCACGCAATGACATAAATAAGCCACGCACATTTCGGCCTGCATGCAAATATGCAGTAATAAAGTAAATAAACGCTTACCACCCGCCATTATGCCCCTGGCAGCGACATACTTACAAGCTCGTACATGCGAGGTGTGTGTGTGTGTGTGTGTGTATTGAACAGAAAGTGCCTGGCAAACTATGCACGGCTATGATTGCAAAACACGACTGCAATTACCTGGCCTGCCGGGCAAACTCAGTCGCACACTCTCACACAGTCGCTGACACGCTCGCGCCTGCATTTACGGCAGCAGCTTGACTGGGCGCCGCAAAGTAGGCAACGATAATGGCATAAATTCAATGAATAAACATAAAATGGCAAGCACATAAAGAGGAGACGTATGGATGTGTGTTAGTGTGTTCGTGTGCGTGTGTGTGAGTGTTTGGGTCGCAGCAGTAGCATAACCTGCAACAACAAGAAGAACAACAATAGTAACAATATCCGCACAGCAGCGGAAAAATATGTATTAGCCCAAAGTTTACTAACAAAATTAATTATGCGAATTAAGCGTAGTAAAAGCACTTTAAGCAAGTTAACCCCAAGCCAGCGCTAACACTCTAACGCCCAGTCGTCGCCACACACTAGCCCCCAGTACCATTCATAACATGTGCCGCATTTTGTGCCGTGTCACAGCCCATAGCACAGGAGCAGCAGCCGGAGCAGCGGTGGCACATGGAGCGGGGCATTGTTCAATTTATGCGTATATGTTTGCTGTTGTTGTTGCTGCTGTTGCTGTTGCTGCTGTGTTGGGTGTATTGTGTTTGCCAGTTAGTAGTTTGCGGACACAAAAGTAGGCCAAGCACCCAGGAGCCGGGGCTGGACTCGGACTACAACTCGATCTGGAACTGGCTGCACCCAGAGCATAGCCCAGCAGCCGCCTGGAAGTTGTTTATTTAAGTGTGAAATTTGAGTGCAGCGCTGCGTTATGTGTAAGACCCAACGACGAATATTTAGCGTTATGTGCGGCAGGCGAGATAAGCGACATGGACCTTAATAACCGACGCGTTGCGAATTCCCATAATCATAAATCGACTTGCCGCTCGCCTGCCACATAATAGATAACACAAAAAAAAAAAAATACATGTCGTGGGCGCCGCAAAAAATGTTGCACTTTTTCTCATTTCTTTTTTTTTTTTTGTTGGTTGCAAGCAAGAAAAAATTAAAAGCTAACTGTTACAAACGGCTTTTCGGCGCCATCGCCAGCCGTACGAAATAAAACAAAATGGCGTCGCTGCGCTGACGCCAGTTGGCAGCGCTGCTTCTGGCTGCTTGACGCCATGCCAAATTAGCTAAAAGTCGGGATAGTCATTTAGTTAATTGCCGCACAAAAATGTCGCGTTGACTTGGCAAGCCCACTAAATCACAGCCGCGTTTTAAATTGAAAACATAAATATCGCAAAGTAATCGAAAAAAAAAACTATTGTAAATTCCTTTAGTTTTATATTTTTTGCTGGACATGCGTATGACTGCAAATATTGCCACACGCAATTGAATTTTAAATGCTCTGTAATTGTGGTTTCAAGTGCCAAATTGTACAATGTAGTGTTATGAGTATACCAAAAAAAAGAAGCCACTCAAAATGGTTTGC